TGCCTTTCTTAGACATATTGTTACACCAGAAGGAATAAAACCAAATCCGGCTAAAAGTAAAGCCATACTTGACTATCCAATACCGCGAACCACGAAGGAAATTTCTAGGCCTTCTTGGATATTACAGGAAGTTGAGACTTCGCTAAAATTACTAAACTTCTAACTTCCTGCCTCAAAAAGAACGCTAAAATAGAACTGACACCGGAATTTTTGAACTGCGTTAGAACTTGCAAAAATTTACTGACAAATCAACCTCTTCTGCAATATTCAGACTTCAGCAAGTCTTTTAATCTAACTACTGATGCTAGCAACTATGCAATGGGGTAGTATACTAGGTATAAAAATCAGTAAAAAAACTGCTCGACATTATTCTATAGGCTAAATGGTGATGGTATAGTGGGATACTGAATTACTTTCCAGCATAGTGTCTTTAGCATTAGTCAGAGAAAAACAAACTGTGATTTGAATTTAGCGCCACAGCGGCGACCAATAGTATTCAAGCCGCTGATCATCTGGCATCGCTGCTCAAAATGCCTCAAAATGACAGCTGACTTCAACAGTTCAACGACGTGTGGTGTCGTGTGAATCGTGTGACATGTGACATTGTCACAGGAACTTGTCTACGTTGTTTGATGTAGTAAATTTGATGTTTCGTTCTTGACGGTCAATGTCAGTGCAAATTGTGCGTTCTCAAAACCGTGATGTGTTGCCAGATTGGAAAAACTAACTACGTCACGAACTTTTATTTTCACGTACGGGCGGGGCTAAGAGGAAAATAGAAAAAAGAATTTCCAGGCTATTGCGGTTTTTACAAAGCAACTGATCACACTAAACAGTATGATACGTCGAGTATATTACTACGTAGTAGTTAAAAATCACTTGTATACTACCCCATTGGAGCTATACTATCCCATGGACCAATCGGCAGCGATAAGCCCATTGCCTATGCCTCCAGGACACTCAACGAAACCGAGTTGAAATATTCCACCATTGAAAAGGGAATGTTAGCCATAATCTGGGCCACCCAGTAGGTACTTCAGACCCTACTTGTTTTGGAGAAAATTCAAGATAATTCAGATCACCGCCCTCTCCAAAGGCTTTTTTCCATGACAGACAATAAATCCAAAATAGTTAGATGGCGCTTAAAGCTGGAAGAGTTTGATTATGAGATAATCTATAAGAAAGGAAAATCAAACACCAATGGAGATGCTCTGTCCACAGTCGAAATCCATACCAAAGAAATAGTTCAACCACCACAAGACGAAAATAACGCATCTTTGTACAACAGTGCAGAATCAGTCCTCGACATAAACGAAGTTCTAGAGAAATCCGCTTCGCAAGCGAAGATACAAAAGGTCATCAGTGAAATCCTTGATTATTCAGAACCCACACAAGCCGACCCGGAAGAAGATAGCGAAACTAGACACACTGCTCAGGAAGAACCTATATTCGGCATTCCAATTAGCGAAAGAGCCCTTAACTACTACAATAACCAAATTGTGCTCAAGTTTGTTAATTATAATCCAGCAAAGCCGATAATAGAAGTAGCCTCCCCTAACAAATCCAGGCTACATGTCCAAGTAAACCAGAATAAATTAGAAGGGAGCTTCATAAAGCTTCTTAAAGAAAAAATACACCCCAAAAAGACGTATGTAATATTTTTTTTGGACGAATAAGATCTTTATGTTCCTCTATGCAACATCCTTAAAGAAAATTTTAAAAATTCTGCATTCGACTTTATCAAATGCAACTTTCTTCTAGAAGACGTCAATAGCAAAGAAAGACAAAGTGAAATAATCCAGCAGGCCTACCATCATGGAAAAACAAATCATCGAGGAATTAACGAAACCGAAGCGCAAATCCGAAGGAAATATTACTGGCCTAACCTCAAACGAGATATTGAAAATTTCATAAATGTTTGCGACACCTGCCAGTCAAACAAATACGATAGGAATCCAGCCAAACCTAAATTCATGATTACTCCAACACCGACTAGACCTTCGGATATTATTCATCTAGATACCTTTCAAGCCGGAGAGCAAAAGTTTTTAACAATTATTGATTCCTTCTCAAAATATGGACAAGTCTACCCCATAGAGGAATCAAATTCAGTGAATGTTCTCAATGCCCTCCTAATCTTCATAACTCATCATGGAATACCACACATAAAAGTCACCGATAGCGGAACAGAATTTAAGAATGGATTTATACAGGATAGGATAGGATTGTAGATACACATAGGATATCTATCCATTATACTACCCCTGATAACCCACAATGCAACGGGATGATAGAAAGATTCCACTCCACCATTATCGAACACCTGATATTACTTCGAGAAAATGAAAAATCCTTGAGCGTTAAATAACAAATGCCATATGCACTTCTCGGATACAATAATTCTATCCATTTAATGACAAACATGCGACCAATGGATATATTGACTGGTCACCTGGATGCGCAGGATCCGTTTGACGTAGCAACAGAGGCAAAAAATGGAGACTATCTATAGGAAATTGAATCGAAAGCTACATGAATCCAAAGAATAGGAAATACAAACATAACCAGGCAAACCCCCCTCACCTACAAACCTAACACGAAAATCTACACCAGGAAAACTGTAAAGCGGAACAAACTACTTCCAAGATTCTCTCCAAAGACAGTTAATACTGAAAATATCGTGATCATTGACACTTAAGACATGACAATACATAGAAAGAATATTAAGCATCTTCCAGGAAACAACTGTAGAAATTCTTTACAGATGTTCCTCAGCCGTCGCTCAGAACCTCCTGATCCAGGACCTGAAGAACAACTCAGGAATACTTCCCCTCAAGCTGGGACGAGCAAGGATTCAGAGAAATACCTACGACTTCATTCACTTTCTGGACCTCTTCAAAGTAATTAAGGAACTTCAATCTCTGGAAGAACAATACGAATCCGTAAGAACAGCAATAGAAAATGGACTGAGTCACCCATACTTCAGAAGCCTACAAAATTTCGATCAAAGTTTACAGTTTCTGTTAAAAGTCGCCTAAGAAAAACTTCGTACCATCATACCTATTCAAAGATACAGAAAAGGAATTTTCAATGGTCTCGGCAGTGTTATTAAAACCATATCTGGAAACCTGGATCGCGAAGACGCCCAAAGATACGATGCCGCAATCACAACATTGCAACATAGCCAAGAGAATATCGTCTCCCAAGAGAATCAGCGGATGAGTCTTAACACCAAAATAATGGAAAACTTCAACGAGACGATCTCCCTTATAACTCACAACGAATAAACTATAGAAAATGGAGCGAACAAAATTACCTCCGAACCAAATAAATTTAAATTCTGTTTTTTATTTAAAGATAATTCCCCAAGTCAAAAATTTAGTAACTAAAATGTGTTTTTTTTTTTAAAGATAAAAGTCAAAGTGACATTATGTTGGCAATACAATGTAAAATTGTCAATGCTTTCAAATTATTTATGTAGGAAAGGCTTGTGTTGCCAACATAGTTACTAAATTTTTGACTTGGGGAATTATCTTTAAAAAAAAAAACAGACTTTATGTTGGCAACACAAGCCTTTTCTACATAAAAAATTTGAAAGCACTGACAATGTTACATTGTATTGCCAACATAATGTCATTTTGACTTTTATAATATATAAAAACAGACTTTATGTTCGACTTTACCCATTTTCTACAAGTTAGAAACGTCTTAGATCAGCTGAACTTAGCCCTCCAAGTCACCTTGCAAATCGTCAACGACCTCGGATAGCTATAACATTTGCAAATAAAACACTCTTCATAAATTTCTTATCAAACCCGACGAAATCAATACCGTAAAACGGGGATACTTTGTGACAAGGGGGAAACTTTGTGACATTGTGAAATTCGATTCAAATTAGCCAAACATTTTAAATGCCGCGCGCGAAGCCAAATTTTTCTACGAGCTGGTGGAAGCACATACCTCACTCGCTACAAAAACCGTTCGGCAAGATGGCACGCTCTCTTGGTAACTTGCTACCTGATTCGAAGGGAGCATCTCGTTTTTGCAAATTTTTCGAAACGCCCAAACTTTCTGCTGTACATCAGAATTTGAACACTCCCCAGAAAAATTTGTCAGAATTTCTAATTGCTTGGGTACTTGTCGGGATATCTAAAGTCTGTTTTTTTTTTAAAGATAATTCCCCAAGTCAAAAATTTAGTAACTATGTTGGCAACGCAAGCCTTTTCTACATAAAAAATTTGGAAGCATTGACAATTTTACATTGTATTGCCAACATAATGTCATTTTCACTTTTATCTTTAAAAAAAAAACAGATTTTACGTGAATACGCTTACGATTTATTAATTTGACAATTTTTTTTTTAACAATAAACAAAAAAGAGTAACCTACCGGGGTAACTTTGTGACATGTAATTCTTATGGGAGAAACTTATGCTCAACCTAAAAGAATGCTAAAAGGATCGACATGTCTCCTAATGTGGATGACTTCCTATGGGTGGAGTTCACATCCCAATTTCTGGATGAATATGAGGGTGATAAATACTATATCGTATGATATACAATAAAAGTTTAAAATGTCTAAATCAATATAAACTCGAGTATAAACCAGTGTTTCTAATAACAGAAAATTATCGAGCATATATTTCTTGACATTTCCTATCGTTTCAGACTAAAAATGACGGGGTTACATTATGTTTTCATTGAAAAAATGCACTGTCACAAAGTTACCCCGCATCACGGGGTGAAATTGTGACACTTTCAGAACTGCCATTTTGTAGCGGAAGAACGGATATACATAGTGTATTTTTTTTTAGAATTTTATATGGCAAAGAAATGTTTGAGAATTTCAAAAAAACCCCAAATCTGTCACAAAGTATCCCCGTTTTACGGTAGGAATACTCCTTTCAGAACCTGCCATAAGTATCCATTTTGTCATTCATGTCATAGTCGCATTGACAAATAAATTTATTTAAAATGTTTATATTTTACAAACGTTTTTAGTTCAAAAATACTAAACGAAAAGTTTACTTCGATATGGCTCAGAACAAAGACAAAACTTCAGAGATAGATGACCATATCGTCAAACGATTTGATATACAAAAAAGACTGGGAAAAGGTGCTTATGGAATCGTTTGGAAAGCTGTAGAACGGAAAACCAAGGAAGTAGTAGCAGTCAAGAAAATTTTTGATGCATTCAGAAACCAGACTGACGCCCAAAGAACGTACAGAGAAATTATGTTCTTACAGTCATTCAAAAATCATCCCAATATAATTAAATTACATAGTATTCACAGGTATGTAGGATAATAGTAGCTATCATTTGGATAATTCCTCAACTTCCATCTATATCCAATCAGCTCAAGACTCTTACTTTGGGTATAGATTTTTCCTACCTTCTCATTACATTAAAACCAACTTTCTCACTTGACAATTAAATTTTATTGTGTTTTGTTATATTTTTTAGAGCTGCTAATAACAGAGATATTTATCTTGGATTCGAATACATGGAAACTGACTTACATAATGTTATTAAGAGAGGCAATATACTAAAAGATATCCATAAGCGCTACATCATGTATCAATTACTCAAGGCAATGAAATACATTCACTCTGGAAATGTAATCCATAGAGACCTTAAACCGAGTAATGTATTGCTGGATAGCTCATGTAAGTAAGTATACATTTTTCCTAACTAAAGAAATTATTTAATTGGATTTTTAACTGTCCACAGCTGTGGCGTGTAAAACACAAGTAGTATTAGATATGTAAATTGATAAAAATTAGACATGCATTAGAAATTTCTATCTGAAACAAATTACTATTGAATTTATAGGTTACCCTGAATTTTTTCAGTATAAGATTTAAGTAATCTGATTTAAAATTAGTGAGATATTTGACGTCAATTTACAATTAGCAGCATGATGTTCTCCTTCTTGTCTTCTTCAGCCTGTAGTTATCCATTCCTGGATGTAGGCCTCTTCCTATTTCATCCAAGCCTTTCGATATTAAGCAGTTTAAATCCCATTTCCTCCTGCGAAAATATGTATGTCATCCCGGAATCGTGTCTGATGCTTGCTATCGCTCCGCTCTATCTTCCTCGGACGCCAAACCAAAACCCTTCATCTCCAATTATGTTCATCTTGTCTGGCTATATGGCCAGTCGATCGTCACTTTTACCGCACAATTTTTAGCACATCCGTCACCCAAGTCCCCTCTCAGATTCCTTATTTATTTCGAGCAATGCAGCCTAATGTGACTGTGTTTTAAGACAATGATCTACTCATAGTAGTTTGGTGGTGAAACGAACCTATATATTAACAATTAAAGCAAAAGTGATAAAAAATTGTAAGAGATCTCATATTTTATAGGTGCAAGATAGCAGATTTTGGGTTAGCGCGATCAATAAATACTCAAGGGATGGATGGATCGTTTAGTGATAGTGACCCTACTTTGACCGACTATGTGGCAACTCGATGGTATAGAGCTCCTGAAATATTAATAGCAAATAGAAGGTAAGTAACTATGACAGTCATTAAATTTATCACCAAATTCAATTTTATCAATAATTCACCAAGATCTTTGACCCACACAAATCACATACTATATACCTAAATATGTACGAATCTTTAGAATATTCCTCAAATAATCTTCCATTAGTCGCATACGATTTAAAAATAACAATTTCATAATCCTTGGCTCTTTTTCTATGAAATTTTAGTATGTTAGAGCTAGAAGCTTGCTGAATAGAGAAAAAAATATTCGGCAGTCCCAGGAGTACCAACTTTTAGAAAAAAAAAAATCGGGAATGCGAATAAAGATCACATAGTAGAAATATCAGTTATAGTATATCGTTTCTCAAATGAGACAAGGCAAAAAATGGGGTCTCCTCAAATTATCGTATTGCCCCTTAAAATTATTATACTATTATTAAGAAAAATATATTGAGCGTACATTGGATGCGAATCCACGTGCGAAAAATGCATCCTATTGGTTGTTTTATACAGTCAACGTTGACTCCAGAAATATCTTATTGGTTAGATTTTTTTGGGGACATATTTCTTGGAAGCGGCGTCTTTGGCGGCATATTTCTTTGAAGCGGCCGCTGCTTGCTAATCAGTTTCGTCTGGAAAGACAGTGCAGTAGATAGTTTTTATAAATTTGATTCCTATTTGAGTTGTATCCTGCGTCATGTTTTATTTTATATAAAACGCGCGTGCTTCATCAAGAAAACGCCGACGGCCAAAGGAATATTTTTTTTTTTACTGTTTCATTTGACTATCGATAGACATACTGTAGTCATACGTTTTAAAAATCACAATTTCGTTATGCTTGGGTCTTTCTCTATGAAGTTTTAGTATGTTAGAGCTGAAAGCTTGCTGAATATAGAACAAATTATTCGGCACCCCCAAGACTGCCAATTTTTGGGTAAAGAAAATCGAGAATGTGAATAAAGGTCACATAGTAGAAATATCAGTTACTGATGTACTCATACGTGTTAAAAATCACAATTTTGTTATTCTTGGCTCTTTCTCTATGAAGTTTTAGTATGTTAAAGCTAAAAGCATGCTGAATGGGGAAAAAATATCTTGAACTCCTAGGAGTGCCAACTTTTGGGAAAAAAAAATCGAGAATGCGAATAAAAAGGTCACATAGTAGAAATATCAGTTACTGTAGTCATACGTTTTAAAAATCACAATTTCGTAATCCTTGACTCTTTCTCTATGATATTTTAGTATGTTAAAGATGAAAGCTTACTGAATAAAGAAAAAAATATCCGGAACTCCCAGGAGTGCCAACTTATGATAAAAAAATCGAGAATGCGAATAAAGGTCACATAGTAGAAATATCAGTTACTGTACTCACTCGTTTTAAAAATCACAATTTCGTAATCCTTGGCTCTTTCTCTATGAAATTTTAGTATGTTAGAGCTTAAAGTTTGCTGCATAAAGAAAAATATATTCGGCACTCCTAGGACTGCCAACTTTTGGGAAAAAAAATCGAGAATGCGAATAAAGGTCACATAGTAGAAATATCAGTTACTGTACTAACACGTTTTAAAAATCACAATTTCGTAATCCTTCGCTCTTTCTCTAGAGAATTTTAGTATGTTAGAGCTAAAAGCTTGCTAAATAAAGAAAAAAATATCCGACACTCCCAAGAGTGCCAACTTTTGGAGAAAAAGATTTTAACAGTTTTGCACCTGAGAAGCTTTAAAGTTAAAGTTATCGAACATTGAAAATTTTCCAAAAATGACACTGAGATAGTTTTTGCCTCGCAGCTCCGTTAATTTCTCTTTGACTTCAGTGTAATTAGGCTATAATTGAAACCTAATAAATTCTCTACAAACCTATTAATTGAGAATTTAATTTAGTTTCAACAGTTTCGCAACTGAGAAGCTTCAAAATTGAATTTATCGAACAATAAAAATTTTCCAAAAATGACACTGAGACAGGTTTTGTTTTACAACTCCTTGAATTTTCATCCGTTTTCAATGTAGCTCTAATTAAAGCCAATTGAATTCTCTACACACCTATTAATTAAGATCTCAATTTAGTTTCAACAGTTTTGTGCCCGAGAAGCTTCAAAATTGAATTTATGAAACATTGAAAATTTTCCAAAAATGACACTGAGACAGTTTTTGCCTCACAGCTCCGTTAATTCTCATCCGATTCCAGTGTAATTGAGCTTAATTTAAAGCTAAATAAATTCTCTACAAACTCGTTAATTAAGATTTCAAGTTGATTTCAACAGTTTGCACTTGAGAAGCTTCAAAATTGAATTTATCGAACATTGAAAATTTCCCAAAACTGACACTGAGACAGTTTTTGCCTTACAGCTCCGTTAATTTTCATCTGATTTTAGTGTTATCAAGCTCGTATTGGAGAAAATTAAATTCTTTATAAACTAGCTAATTAAGATTCCAATAGTTTCAAAAGTTTTGCACTTGAGAAGCTTAAAAATTGACATCTTTTTTTTTTCTCACAGCTTCTCTAATTTTCATCCTATTTCAGTGTTATTAGCCTCTATTAAAGCCAATTAAATTCTCTACAAACCTACCAATTAGTTACAATTATTTTTAAAAAAAAATCTTATCATTGCTCCTGTCCAAAATGTTTTGAACTCATTCAAAAATTAACCTATAACTACCGTTGGCGGTAATTCCTGCTGAGAATCGAATGCTAACTTCACACATGTACCTAGCAGTACATTGGTACGAGTCCAGGTAATGGGAAACCCATGGAAAACCCTTTCCGTTTTACTATGCCAGCGAGCACAATTTTAATAACCCAGGCAAATTCAAATACATCTAGGGCCGATACTTTGGCTCTCGATTAACGAATTTGATACGTTGTCAAAGTTTTGCATGGGCCAAGGTCTATAAGTATGATGAGGTTAGAGCACATTCTAACCCCTGATTATTTTTAACGGCTGTCAAATGAGAGCAAAAGTACCGGCACCTAAACAATTTAATCAAAAAAGTTAATTCCGATACCGGGAATCGAACCCGAGCCTCCTGGGTGAAAGCCAGGTATCCTAGCCACTAGACCATATCGGATAATATCTGGAAAATCCTAGCGACTGATGCAGACTGTCAATTTAATCCATTTGTATTATCCTTCTAAGGCCCGGTTTATTATTCATCTTGGATAAACTGTAATACAATCTGACGGATGGAATGCAAACTATAATCCAATTGATAGACCAGTTAAAATTATCTTGTAGGCGGTTTATTTGAAGATGAATAACCCGGGCTTAAGTTTCACGAATGAAATAGTCCCATTAGCTATTGGCATTGGAATTTTTCTTATAGTTCTCGAAATCCCAATGATGCAACGCTAATTTGGGTTATTCTATATATACCTAATTCTATAACAAGTGACTTGGGTCTTTCGCATTTTAGATTTTTTGTTGTAAACGACTTTTTAAAGGTTATTCAAATTATCTGCAAAATTTCAATACATTAATCACTTACTTTTCATTTAAAACAATAATTTATGAGCATTTATCCTATAGATACACCAAAGGAATAGACATGTGGAGTTTGGGGTGCATTTTGGCGGAAATGTCAATTGGCAAACCAATTTTTCCAGGAACTTCCACCGTCAATCAAGTAGAGAAAATAATGACAACCATTCCAACACCATCTAATGAAGGTAGGCATTCAAAATGTATTCGAGAATAAAGTGTCATAGAGCTCAAAAAATAACCTGCAACTTCTTCCAAGTGAGATTTGAACGGCTAATAATGGTGATATTTTTCTATTTTCAGATATCAATCAGGTTTGCATATCAGGAGTTGGATCTTCAATGATCAAAAATGCTTCGTCGGTTGCTAAACTTCCATTACAGACTATATTGGGTGCAAATGTTCCAGCCGATGCCGTCAGTTTGATAGCTGAACTCTTGGTATTCAACCCCCACAAAAGACTGAAGGCGGCCGAAGCATTGCAACACGAGTACGTATCGAAATTTCACGACCTCAGTCAAGAAATCCATATGGCATCAAATGTCACCATTCCTTTAAATGACGATATTAGGCTCTCGGTAGATGATTACAGAAATAAGTTGTACGAACTCATGTCTTTACACAGCCACAGAACATCTTCAAAAAAAGCTTTAGTCGTTAAACCTAAGCTTTTCGAACCTGAGGTATATTCAAAAGTGTCAAAAAATGCAGAAAGGTACATCCGTTCACATGTGGTAGCAAAAGACAAAAGGCAAATTATCTCAAATTCTGAGTCCAAAATTTATCAAAAGAATCCTGTTAATGACTGGATGCAAGCTGCACAATTGAATAAATCAGATTCCAAAGTACCCTCGTGTAAGCATAGTATTGTATCAGAAAAAACAAACATTCAGAAAGCCAGTGGGGATTGCAGAGTTAACATGAAATCTAGCACGGAAGTACCGAAGAGACGCATCTCAACTATCACACCACCCAAGCCAAATCTATATCAGTCTTTTAATAGTTATAATAAATCGCATGGAATTATTACACAAAGTGCCTTAATGGAATTAAGAGCTGCAGGGCTACGATAATAATATCTACTAGTACTATTTTATATCACCATTTTTATAATATATAAACATTTTTACCGATTTTACTCTTTAGTAATGTACTTACTCTGTTCTTTGAAATAAAATTATTTACAAATGTCTTAATTCTCATTTAGTTATAACATACGCCAGCTACAGAAGATCTGTAATAAATATGATAAGAGTATGACGGATATTCTCATAATGCCCTATAGATCGCAAAGTACATACAGTTTTGTTGTTGAGAATACTTGCAAACCTCGACAGGTAATGGTTAGCAAACTGGATTCTTAGGTGCTTACTTTCAGCTTGCAGGTAAAGTTACTTAACAGAGTACCAATTCAAGCATTTCATAGGTACCATAAGATACCCCCATATTCCCATTAGTCAGAGCTGTCAACCAGAAGATATAACAATAAGAATATAGGCATCTCAGAAGTCCTTTTGGTCAAAATAAGAATATAGGAGCATATTTATTTCTGTTGCTACATACCGAATATATTCTATTGAAAATGGAAGAGAAGGCAAGTGGATCTAACCTCACTAGTTTTCTAGAAGTGGGTAGGTAGTTAGGTGTTAGTTCTAATTTCTTTTAATCATGTTTATTTTTGTTAGACAAAAAGATTATCATAAGTTTTTCTATGAAGAATGTGATCATGTGCCCTTTTTTGTTTCATGTAAATTTAATGTAAGAGTACCGTACCATCTGGCATGGCGCCCGAGTGTGAGACCACAAGGTATTTTTTTTTCCTGAATGAAAGTGACTCTCTGTTTGAAAGTATAATTTTGTTTCGGCGTGTCAAATTCTGAACATCAAATACGTACTCGACACAACAACAAGCAACTTTGTGAAGACCAGTGGCGACGCGTGACTTGCAGTCTAGGGGGGTAATGGGAAGATGCGACCACCCGCTAACGCGCCGCAGGCGAAATTTTTTGTCAATTTCAAGGTCATTCACTTTTCCAGAACAATAATTTCCTTTGTGAGGAAAATAAAACAAAAAAAAAGGTATTTTCTTTAATATTATTATGTATTTTCTTTTGGGCATCGTGATTTTTCCCTTGAATTTTGGATCCTGGGGGGGGGGGGGGGGTAATTACCCCCCCCCCCCCGACGCGACGCCCCTGGTGAAGACATCACTGACGTCATGACTCTAGTGAATGAATCTAATCCTTGGCATAGTAGTTTCCAGACAAATCGAAAATGCCAGAATCCGGAGGTCAACAGTCACCGCAAACAGCAGATTCTTATGAGATCAGAAAGAGAGAATCAGAGGGTATGCAAAATATTGTAGGTCATTTCTAATTTCTGTGCATGCAAATCAAGATTGGATGGCCGCCAAGATCAAGGAGCAAAAGCCGAAGCTTTTACTATCTATAAAGTCACACAGTCTAATAAACAGACGAGCAGGCTGTCGAGGGAATCTCTATGCTTTCAGCTGACTCAGCTGCAACCTGATGGCAAAGAAATATATCTTCAACCCAGGCTATTGTTCTCCTGCGTTGTGCTTCTCCTGCTAACTGGTTCTCCCAAAGCACCTCGTCAAATTTAGAATGAGTTATTTGCCAACAAACAAGGTAGGTAGTGGTAGAACCGATATTTTTGTGAGCACAAGAGTCGTTATTCATACCTTACTGGAGTATCTTCTATATCTGAGTATGTATAGCTGATTTCTATGATTGGACAAACGGGTAAACTTATCCCAATTCAGGTGCGAAATCTAGCATTGCAGGTGAGAAACTCCTTAGTGACCTTACAGTTGAAGAAGATGGATCCACGAACCCAAAAATGTTGTTGATTAAATTATTTTTGAGGCAATCGCTCTCATCACAAATCTGCTCCTATTAATGATCCACAATATTCCACAGCTCTCACGTGCTGATTTCCTAAATGCGGCAAATATCTTGACATACCTGCACCACAATTTGATTTCAGGGGTCGTATTTTCGAATTCATTCGAGTACATTTCGTACATGAAATTTGATTGACAGCAATATAAATTAAATGGGAAGCATTCGAAATCTGAAATCTTATCAAATTTCGTATGCGAGAATATTCGAAAATACTACCCCTGATCCAGGTAATACACTACTACACGTTTTGAGTTGTTTTACTCAGTCAGTATGCCAGAAATTGCATTAAGAAAACCATTTGGTTCTAATAGAACTGGACATCTATGATTCCAATTTATATTTAAAAAAAAAATCTATGTCTGTACCTTGACCAATATCCAAGTTGCTGTGCCACCAGTTCGAGAAAAAGGTTCCTGTGGAAGAAATTTCAAATACATAATTAGACGCGTATTACTAGATAAAATTTATTAGGAACGTAACAACAAAAATTGCTATACAAAAAGGTTCTGAAGATTTGCTGGACGAAATTTTGAAATCCAAAGGAATCGCATTGTCCTCTGCACTGATCTGCACGGTTGTAATCATTTCTTCATTTAATTCTGTAAAGTAAAATTCAGGATAGGTATAACAACTGCTACGAAAAGCTGATACGTTATAATTTGAAAACTTCCATTATAATTAATATTATAGTTCAATGGAATTTAGCACTAAAATCATTCAGCAAACAACATTTTACCTGCTCCTGCTGTGGCAAACCTCAATATAGGACTTGGCTTAGACCATCCATATCTATTCCTCGACACCAGAAGCACTTCATAAATGGTTTTTTCCTTTAAGCCACCTAAGTTATAACTTTTAGAATATACTGTCCCCGAACTATGTTGGGCTGGAATCGTCAGCTTGGTCCATTCAGGTCTGTTCAATCCGCGGCTTGTTTTATATGGTCTGAACCATAAGGAATATTCAATAATTGGTGTGTAGCTATCAACTTCCCAAATTAATGTGTAAGTGTTGCGATTGGAGTTTTTGTTGTTTTCCGAGGTTTTTTTGAAAACTCCTGGATTTGGTACACCTGTAATAAGTTTCGTCTTGAGTTGAAATGTTTGTTGCAATTAGATTTAATTTTCAGTAAGTCCGTTGATCGTTTGATCTTATTCAATAACAAACTAAAGTAGCCATACATTATTTCTAAACAAAATTATCCAACCAAAAAAATAAACTCATGAATGAAACTGGTATCAGACTTAATTTTGTTACGATAGACGTGGTTTTTCATTTTCCAAGTGATATTTACGTTATAGATGAATAAATTACTCCATTTAGAAAAACATTAGTGGAGAAATAATGGCATGGTGGATTCTAAATAAATCAAACAAAACAAATCATATAATCAATAAATAAGTATATGCCATTGAAATTTTTATTACATTTATACATGAAAGTTCTTGCTATTGATTGGCACAATATTATTATGTGGGAATATTTTTTTTAGGAAGAAGACATTCATATACCTTTGATGGTTTTCTCTCACGTCCAAACGAAGCTTTCATATTGCCAGATCAACAATGTTTTAAATAAATAGAATAATTTAATAAAATCAGAAAAACTCACCGGACAATTGAATTTGAATGTCTGATTGTCCGAGTTCATTAATAGCTCGGCAAGTATAGATACCAAAATCGCTTTTTTGTACGTTTCTTATAAGCAACGTATATTTATCTCCATCTATAATGGATACCAATCTGCTGTCCAAGGGCACTATTGTCTCTCCTTTCAACCAAGTTACTGCTGCCTATAACAAAAAATCTCTCATAAAAATATACCTTTTGTTCACCAGTTGGGTAATGGCATTCTGATAATTATTATTATCATTCAATCAATTCATATTATCTGCATGACAAGAAAAAAAAAAATTATTACTTGTGGGTCAGCCGACACTCGACATTCCAATTGAGCTCTATGACCTGGTGCCGTGTGAATCCATGAACGAGATACCAATTGCTCTGGAGGGTCTGCAAAAGTCAACCAGAAAGTAATGAATATTGATTAATTTATTTTCATTTATTCATTCATCCAATGTTTAAAGCAATCAAATTTTCGTCTCGTATTTGAGTTTGAGCGGAATCGCAAAAGGTTTTATCTATCCTTGCTGTTAAAGAGTTCTACCATTGCGGTGAAAGTACTACTTTATCTACTATTTTTAGTAGATTGAAGGCTACTTTACCAGTAGTTATGAAACAAAATTAATTAATAGTCGATTCTAGTCCTGATAAACAGTTCCTAGATCCTAGATGAAAATATATACTTACATATTATGCTTAACTCAATGGTTGCTTTAGCAGGTTCGCCAACACCATTTGCAGCTATGCATTCGTAAATTCCTGCTAAATATCTATCGGAAGCTGTGAAAACGAGAAGTTCCCTGTGATCCAGTAATTTCAGTTCCTCACCCTAAAACAAATTGCATTTACAAATTGTTTATTTGTTATCTTTGCAAATTGAACAAGTAAAGATGAATCTAATAGTTTGTAAGTTGTCTAGTATTTTTACCTTGCTTGTCCATGTTATTATGGGATATGGTACTCCGCTAGCCCTACAGGACATTCGCACTTCTTCCCCTAGCTTTACTTGTAGAAATCCTGTTATTGGGAATGGTTCCACAGAGGGTGAATCTGAAAATCACATATAAATGTTTAACAGAAGGTATACGAAGGTCACCACATTTTCAAAGGCTGATGCTAAATCCGACCATATAAACAGAACAATGCAATGGGAAGCTGATCGCAGGGACGATAATATAACACTGATCTAATATCAGAAGCATTCAGAAAACTCAAACTGTACATACGTATATTTGGGAAAGAAGTTGATGAAATTGCTGGACCATAAAAGAAGACATTGATAAGTCATAATATCAGGAAAGAACGGGATAAAGTTACAGGGACCTAGTAGAATTCGAAAATTAATGAAACATGAACAATTTTTTGACGATGACAGACCATACAAGCTACTGTTTTTGATCAGCAATCTTCGAGAAGTATATTGCAAGATGAAAACTTCACACTCGATAAGGGGAGAGAATATAAAAAGTTTGGAAAGATTTTTTTCTAATATTATCTCTGGAAACATTCGAGACAATTGGGTATGCTGCACATTTATAACGTTATCAAAGACAAACAACACAAGAAGTGTAACATTGTGAATGCCAATATTTTTATAAAGTGATTTTCCAGTGAATGCAATTCCATCGGATCCACATCGAAGTGTCATCACGTTATAAACGCCAATGTAAAGTTTAGTTGCTAAATTGGAACATTAAAATTTGGAGTACGTATATCAAAATTTGAGTCTTGTTTGTTTCAATGTTGCTAGTCCTTACTTATAATCCCCAAAATAATCTAGCACTGAACTTACGTAAAACTTCAATTGCATGTCTTTGCCTGACAACCCCCCATGGATCCGGTCTAGATATTTCGCACACGTACTCTCCCGTATCGGATGGTTCTACTTTCTGGATTTCCAGGGAACCATTGTCCCACAAAGTATATCTCAGGGGTAACGCCACTGTTTCGTTATCACTGTCTGCCAGAAGATCCTCACTCTTGAACCATTTCACTGCTGTCGCATGGGCTCCATCTAAAAAATGACATTAATATAATTCGTATTTATATAATATTGTATAATAAACGCGCTACAAAAAAGCAGCAATTGGTGGCGTCCATCAGTACGTAGCGCTTCTGTAGCGAACAATTTATATGATGGAAAAAATGGCGTCCGCTCCATAAGCGATGCAGACTGGTCAAGTTGACAAGACAAGCGTTCATCAGAAAATTGGTACTGGCTACAGCACTATTGAAATCAAGGAACATTTGGAGCTGTCGCGGCGCTTCTTTTTTTAGGTTATGGACATCTTGGGGTTTTCCTGTTACCTTCCTGAGTGAAAATTTCAGTTTCCTCAGCGGTTGGTTCGAAACTCTTTAAAAAAAGTTAGCTAATATATTTTCCCACGTTTTATTCTGCTTTTCCTGGTTTGATTTGTATTCTGAAAGCGATTACATCCACTTATCAGTAATTGATAAAATTTTCCCTATTGCTAAACTATTTATTCTTATATACAGGGTGACAATTTGAAAAGAGAAAGAGAGAAAAAATACTGTCAGGAAGATCTCAAATAGGAATCGGGGGTTTGGAGGGGGTACCAAAATGAGGCACGTTTTGAGTCACCTCACCTCACCCATTAGGGGGTAGCTACCCTAACTTATTTTTTTTTTTAATACGAACCTACCTTGTGTTGCAAAACGTTGAATAGCTCGCTGCTATCTCTTTACAGTTCTATAGCTAGGAAAATCGATGTTTAAGAGTGAGGACGTTTTGGAAACTATAAATGAATCAAATTCAAACGGCAGTAACGCAACAAGTAGTCATTTTCATTACAATCTATCAAATATCCTTGGGCATGCGCACTAGTCTTGGTAGGGCGTTTCAACCAATAGGAAGGCTAGATTACCAGCTAGTGTTTGTTTACAATTTAGGTTATTCAATGTCATAACTGCCGCTTGGATTTGATTCAACCATAGTAATTTTGACGATCTCTTAGACAAAAGAATTCTGTCATAAAAGCCTCGAATACACAGCGAAGAAACCAAATAATGTGTTAATCGTAATTCTATCTGCTTTTGCACGCCTCTAAAGAGGAATAAAAAACCTTTTGAAGGAGGTATCACATGGGGTAGGTTCTTATTTTAGAAAAATTATTAGGAGTGGCTAGTCCCCAATATAAGAGGAGTGGGGTTGGGCGATAGAGACATTTGTTTTTTGATTGTGATTTCTTTGGGAAAGTTTATAGTCAATTAATGAGTTGAGTTTACTTTTCAGATTTTTAACAGTACTTTCTAATTTTATTGTAAATATTTTGGATAGTGTCTGCCGTGGCTATCTTTTAACATCGCCATTTAGATTGTTTTTTCTTCAGTCCAGTGGCGCTCTCTGAAAATTGCCCAAATACTAACAACCACCCCCAAGCTGACAAGCGATGAGAACATAAAGCTAACTATGATTATGGGCGCGATCTTTTATTTTGATAAAAGGTCGTTACAACTTTCAAAATCTCGTATAATGGTTAGCAGCATATTTGTTAGATCTAAATATAAAATTTCTTACCATTTGATAACGTATTCAAATAACATGGGAGTAGAACTGTATTATTTTCTCTGGCTTTTACAGTTGTTGGGGAACTAATAAAGTCATTTTCAGTCGCACTTGCAATACTACTCACTACTGACCATAGCACTGTCAACACTTTAAGTGTCATTTGTTTATTTCGTACATGAATATTAATCATAATATTTATATATTATGGTAATTTAACATTTAGATAACACAAAATTGCTTGTCAAAATTAAAGTTTTTATTTTAATGCATCTCTATAGATAATAAGATATGGCTTCTCTATAATAATGAGGGTGTTTTTAATTGAGCAAGTTTCGTTTGTAGCTTGGGTATACTTATTCGTAATAAGATATGACCGAAACCTTTAATTTGCGTTAATCTTCTATTTGGCGCGTCTGGATATTCATAACGTGATTAGTTGCGTGGTATATCACCGGTCGTTGATACATTTTATGATAATATATTTAGTTTCTGATAAAAGCAAAGAGTATAAAAATTATCAGATGCAGTATAGATTTATTCAGTTTATCTCTCATGAAAAAAAAAAAAAAAAAAAAAAAAATGAACTACATTGAAGTTATCCCAAAGTAGTTCAATATGGAATACGAAAAAATACATATTGCAAATGCAAGTTGAAATTCCCTTCCACTAAGATATTCTGATATATTATGTACCTATATAAAATACGGCTTCTATATGATTTGTAACATCCGAATTACAAGAAAGGATATCATGAGACATGCGTTTATTCCATAAATTCAAGCGTTGGTTTCTTGTTATTCTTTGATAGGGTATCTATATCCAGTAAGTTACACATAGGCCTGTGGTGGAGGAATATACGCAAAACCTTCCATGGAACAAAGCATATTGAGTGAATTAAAGAAAGAACCTTATGCAAGCTACAACAGATAGTGAAAATTAAGAAATAATTATATGTACTCACTTCATTGTCAAAATTTGAAAAGAAAATTGAATAGGTACCAAAAAGAAGAAGGATATGGCAAGGATCATTCGAAAAATCCAACTAACAATACCAAAATCTCATCCACATCTATCCCAACCAACATAAATGAATAAATACCTACTAGTGATGCCGCAAGACTCGAGACTGGTCTCGTCTCGTCTGGACCTTTCGAGACGAGACTGGCTTTTGGTCTCGTCTCGTGAAGTCTCGACGAGACGAGACCAGACTCGGCGAGAGTCTCGCGTAGTCTCGAGATTACAATTAAATTTTTTTCTTTCATAGCTTTATTATTGGACTATTTGAATATTAAATCAGTAAGTTTTAATACTAACAATTAATGAGATGATTTCTACATACCTACTTAATATTCAGATTCCACTTTCGATTTAGCCAGTAGTGTGATCAATTTAAAAAAATGTTCAAAGCGTAAGTACTTTCGAATAAATTGGAAGTTAGATCTGAAGATAAAGTATGTAGAAAGTATCCCAGTAATTCACAAAAAAAATTACAGGGTGATTCTTTTTTCAAAAACTGTTTTGTCCGACATTTTTTTTTTTTTTAATTTGACGTTCATATTTTTTCAAACATCACGGATACTCTTTACTGTGAGTCTTCATTCTTTGAATAACTGCTTTTTTACTGTGGCAGTTTGAACTTTTGTTATAATATAAAAACAAAAACCATAAATGCAGGGTGTCCAAAAAATAGCGTGAAAGCTCTCCACGTAGTAGCGGACCCTTTGAGAAACCCTAGAAAAATAATTGAAAAAATCCTTCTCCAGCATTATTCTTGGTAATATGAAGAGGTAAATGTGAAAATTCACCTTCGAATTCTACTAGTCTAGGAAAATAGTCGAAAAATACATGTATTGCAAAAAAAAAATTCCTACCCAAATGAACTTTTCAGGGATGATAGGGGGCGGGTGGGTGATCAAAAAACCAAAAATATCAAACATTCACCCCTCTGGCGTTTTGCGCTATAGGGGTTGAAAGTGCGCCATTGGCGATTACTTGGTACCTATTGATTTTACAAAAAAATCTTTCAAATAAAAGATGTCCAACATTATTTGATCTACAATGTTTATCTGAAGACTTTTTTGATTAAGGGCCGTCTGTGGTCATAAGGGCCATTTGAAATTTTATAATGAAAATGAAAAATTTTAACCAACGTGAAAATTTTTTCTACAACACATACAACATTTTTGCTTTATGAAGTTTTTACTCACCCCCTGCCGTTTTTCAATAGGGGTAGTTTAAACTTTACTTATTTTTTCACAAAAAAAAATTTCCTCATAAAAGTTTTATAAGATTATATTTCCTACAATTTTTCCGAATCAACTTTTTTTGTACCTCACCCCCATTTAGTGGGGGGACACTTCCCTTAGGGAAATTTTAGTTTTTAGGGGTATATAACAATTTTTTTTTTCTTTTCTCGCCTTTAGTGCATATAAAAAAGGTGCAATTAACATTGTATTAAAAGGATTTTTTTTCCACCCCTTTTTTGTTTTTAGGGGTAGTTCGCCTATTTTTAACTTTACAAAAAAAAGTTATAGACAAAAGTTGCTCAAAATAATAAAATGAACAAGTTTTCTTAATAATTTTTTTTGTAAAGTTGAAAATAGACGAACTACCCCTAAAAACAAAAAGGTGGTGAAAAAGAAATCCTTTTAATACAATGTTAATTGCAACTTTTTATATGCACTAAAGGCGAGAAAAGAAAAAAAAAATAATATATACCCCTGAAAACTAAAATTTCCCCGAGGGAAGTGTCCCCCCGCTGAATGGGGGTGAGTTACAAAAAAAGAAGTTGATTAGGAAAAATTGTAGGAAATGTCATCTTATAAAACTTTTATTAAGAATTTTTTTTTGTAAAAAAATAAAAAAACTTTAAACTACCCCTATTGAAAAACGGCAGGGGGTGAGTAAAAACTTCATAAAGCAAAAATGTTGTATGAGTTTTTTCACGTTGGTTAAAATTTTTCATTTTCATTATAAAATTTCAAATGGCCCTTATGACCACAGACGGCCCTTAATCAAAAAAGTCTTCAGATAAACATTGTAGATCAAATAATGTTGCACATCTTTTTTTCGAAACATTTTTTTGTAAAATCAATAGGTACCAAGTAATCGCCAATGGCGCACTTTCAACCCCTATAGCGCAAAACGCCAGAGGGGTGAATGTTTGATATTTTCGGTTTTATGATCACCCACTCTCCCCCTATCATCCCTGAAAAGTTCTTTTGGGTAGGATTTTTTTTTTTGAAAATCGACAATTTTCCTAGACTATACAGGTAATTACAAAGGTATTTAATTTAATTCTCTGACATATTGTCACGGGATATATTTAGTGTTGTAAATTTCAATAAATATAAAAATGCAAATAACTTTCTTAATGCCACTAGATTTTTTAAATTATTTTTCTGGGGTTCCTTGAAGGGTCCTCCACCACGTAGTGAATAGTTTTTACGCTATTTTCCGGACACCCTGTATAACTCGAGACCACTCGAGACGAGACAAGACTTTGGTACTCGAGACCGAGACTAAGTCACGGCCCCGTCTCGAGATGTCGAGACGAGACGAGACCAACCTTAAGTCTCGTCTAGTCTCGTCTCGCGGCACCACTAATAAATACACTTATCTTGGGTTATACATTATTATTTCTTGTGATATCCACCAAACAGACAAAACTTCAGCGTGAAACAATACAGATGATCTTCGTAGCTATTGAAAACAGATATTATGATTCGTTTGTGAAGCAAATCTTAGTCTCCTCAGATAGGTTTCCAGAACTTCCACAAGCAATAGACACAGCAAGCTAATAAGTAACATTCTCACTCAATTGAAAATTGTGGATCAACTTTGCTGGATATTTTACAGGATGTTCATTTTAAAACTTACCGCCCCTATTATCGCAGAAACGGAATTGTGAAAACAATCGCCGAAACACGTCAAATAGGAGGACGAGACTATAATTTCTATGCAAAGTTCAACTCTTCCCTTTGAACCCTCTACCCCCCAGAGCCACCCCCTGAAAAAAATCTATTGGGAAGGAGGATCAAGTGATGATTTTGAAAATCTTTCGGCTCCTATTGAAACTGTCAAGTTTTAAGTCTGAAGACTTTTCAATAACTGATAAATAACTAATCACAAAAGTTAGTGACATGAAACCTGGGGTGTATGATCATGAGGGTGCGAGTACCCTAAAAATAAGCTAGGCTTAACTTCTGTGGGCCTGATTATTAAACCTTAGGGCGGAGGGCGGCCATATCAAACTATGATGTCCTACTAACAAAATCTTCTGACTGTCATCATACCGCCTATTGGCTTCATAACTATAAGCATCCCAATATTATTTATTTTGCCGGAAATATTCTTTTTTTAGTGCGCTGCATGTTGCACGATGTCGTGCCACCCAGTACCAGATCTTTCACCAGGAACTTTGATAAAGTATTTTAGAAAACTTCAGTGAGCTATGTTTTTGGAATCCATAGGGAATCCAGTAAGGTTTTGAAACTTTTTCTAGATATTCTGAATGGGGTAACACTTATGTTTTTGTAGCAGGGACCTAACAGGGCATATAAACTAGAACCGCCCCAAATTGGTTTTGAAATCGGTAAGAAGGAAGAGCAGGTTAGAGAATATCAAAAAGAGTCAAAAGACTCAACAATAAAGTTCTGGTTTTATTCGACGATATTTTCAAAAATAAACAGCTGGAAATAGCTTACTGCTAATGTTCATTTTAAGTAATCGAGCATCAACATATTTTTACCAAGAGACAGTTTTGAGAAAAAATCACAAGGTATATTTCCGGTCAACATGAAACTCATAAGGTCTGTTCTCACAAAAATCACAAACTAGTCAGAGCGTTTTTGATTGGTGCAATTCGTCAACAACCAGTTTTCTGACTATATTCAACCAATGAAATTCGCTCTGACTGGTTTGTGATTTCTGTGAGAACAGACCTATAGTGTAAATAGACTATGTACCATCGTCACCAAAAGTATCTGGGACACAAATAATGCCTAATAATCTCCTGGACTAATTCTACTGTCATTCATTTCAATGCATTCTATTCATAGTTTGACAAATATTTGACAATAAAATTCATATAATAGGACAAGAGCTAATGTGATGCTGTCCCAGTTACTTTTGGTGACGATGGTACCTACAGGGTATAAACTCATATATTTCTAGATTGAATATTTAAGTACCGGTCTACCATAAATTGACCCCCAGCCGTAATCACAGGTGCGATAGATAAATACAGAAGTAGCAATGTTTTACCTAGACGGCCAAATTTTTGAGCAGATCGAACAAATGAACATAGTAAATGGCCAGGTTTGACAGAATTTATATATTTTTTTTTAAATGGGATGCTCTGTATATTATTTCAATCTTACTTTTTTTTTTTTTAAATCGAGAATAACTATAATATTAGGTATATTGATAATTGAAATGTAGAACTAAAAAAATGATCTTCCAGTACAGGGTGGCCCAAATTCGAGCCTCATCATTGGGATCTCGGAAACCGTAAGAGATACGGGGTCGGTTAAATTATGGCAAAGTTGCGCAATTTTATGACCAATAGAATGGAGATATTCGGAAAAAACCGAAATTTTGTAAAATCGGTTTTATTTTTTCCCGGGCTTATTTGCAGACCAATTTTAAAATAAAGGTCACTTCATCGTTGTCACTTTTTCCCCTCTAAGAGATGACGCTACTAAATTCAAAATTCGGCGTTAGGTCTTCAGGCGGCCATCATCAACTTACTTTTTTTAAATACGGACCTGGATTTTTCATTTGCGATTTTGTCATATTTGGACATCCTAAAACCGATAATGTTTATAATTTTCCAATAACACAGTAAAAAAAGCAGGTCCGCATTTAAAAGAAATAAATTGATGATGATTCCAGAGGAACAAAACGTTGGATTTTGAATTTAATACCGCTACCTTGTAGAGAACAAAAAGTGACAATGGGAATTTGAAATTAGTTTTTCAAAATATTTTTTAAAAAAATCAGGAAAAATCAAAACTATACGAGAAAAACATGAGTTTCTCGTATTTTTCAAATTTTTTGCTGATTTCATTTGAAAAGATTTTGAAAAACTAATTTCACATTCTCATTATCACTTTTTCTTTTCTACAAGATGGCGGTATCAAATTTGAAATCCAACGTTTCGTTCCTCTGGAATCATCATTAATTTATTTCTTCTAAATACGGTCCTGCTTTTTTTACCGTGTTATTGAAAAGTTATTAACAGTATCGGTTTTAGGATGCCCAAGGATGACAAAATCACAAATAAAAAATCCAGGTCCGTATTTAAAAAACGTAATTTGAGGACGCCCACCTAAAGACGAAACGTCGAATTTTAAATTTAATAGCACCATCTTCTAAAGGGGAAAAAGTGACACTATGAAGTGACATTTATTTTGAAATTGCTTTTGAAATAAGCCCGGGAAAAAATAAAAACGATTTTACAAAATTTCGGTTTTTCCCGAATCTTTCTAGTTTCAAAACGGAATTCTATTGGTCATAAAATTGCGCAACTTTGCCATAATTTAACCGACCCCGTATCTCTTACGGTTACCGAGATCCCAATGATAAGCCTCGAATTTGGGCCACCTTGTACATCTAGAACTAATTAATTTCTGGGTCCGACCAATGTAGAACCACCATGTCCTACTTTTTGACGTAAAAGTAAAAAAAAAATTATTATTCAGAGAGCATAATATGCTTATTATGCAAAATCTGGAATACCTAACTTGAATTATTTTCATGACGAATTTTTTCTTCCAAACTACGGCTTCAGTTTCATATGAAATATTTTGTATGAAAAAAAAAAAATCGCCGCATTTTCAAACAAAATTATTACATACTAACACGATAGGAAATTGAACTGAGGTAGCCACACTACCAGACTGTATAAAGAATTCATTGAACTTAACTAATAGGGTAATGGACAATTTTTTGAAATATTGGTTTTATTATTCTCCATAACAAAATAAATAGAAGTTAATGATTCTTCGATTTTAGAAAACAAAAATATAACTTTAAAAAAAATAAACAAATTTGTACTTATTTTGAACGCTATAATTTACCGCCCGAAAATTACGTCATAGCTGTTATGTCCAATAGCGTCAAGGCATTCCGAGTATTCCGACATTAAAACAGAGTGGCGAGAGTGCGTTCTGTGCGTCCTTATATTTCATGCTTTTCGAAGAAAATTCAGATAAACTCAGTGCGCATTGATTGACAAATGGAAGTTTCTCAAAAAGTGGTGTTAAGTTGAGGGTGCGCCTAGATGTAATGATACCCGACAGACGCTGACTCATCTCTCTTTTTTGCACTAATGAGTAAGTTTGTGTCGAATATCGGATGCAGTTTTGATTCAATTCATCTTACAGCAGGTAAACGGACATAAGGAGTAGGAACGCGCCATTCTGCTTATGAAACTAAAGTGAAGCCAAGTTTTTGGCAGGTGTTTGGCACCAAAATACAGGTAAAGCATTGAAACGACTTCACTTTCCAAATCCAGGTTACTACTCCTCTTTACCTTTACCTGCTCTAAGCAATTCATACTCAAATACAGCAGCTATGACTTTTACAACCTTTTTAAACAAAGTTAGCAATTTTTTCTGAAATTGCTTTTAATAGGAATATTTTTCATATACTGCATAGATGAAGAATAGATCATTAATTTAATTGAAATTATACCTTGCCCACTACCCTATTATTCCGGAGTCAAACTGTTGCGATAATATGCCGGTTCACTAATTTTGATTAAGTATTTATATTATCTAGAAATACCGTATTTTTAATTGAATAAACTTTGTTTTTCACACGTAACTACCACAACACGTAAAACCCCGATCTTATGTCACACTGTTTCTTTCTCGATTAAACGACTACTGCACCTAAGAGACAGATTTCAACCGATTATGTCTCATTAACTAGTTGACCAATAATGGTCATAATTACCGGCTTCATTGTCAGAGGGCACAGAAACTATTTAAGGTTGAAAAATAACAAAAGGAATAGAACTATGGGAGACGAGAACCGTTGTATTCCAATTAAGTGCATTTATTGTACGTTATTCGATTTGAGACCGACTGTAAATTGAGGCCCCCTTTTATTGTAGCCTGGCTCTGTTTTTATCGAGGTATTTATTCGTTGAAATTGGTGGAAATTAGATTAAGTTTATTTGATTACATAAATGTGATTTCTATTTCTTAACCGGTAAAAGTTGGTATTTATAGCCGACGCGACATAAAGATAATTATGTACAGGGTGATCCAGTATAAAGTGTGAACACTCTGATTAGGGGCTTTAATTAAAAATAAGGTGCTCCTCTAGTTTCTGAGAAAATCAAAAACAAACTAAGGGATTGCTAGGTTTATGAAAGCTAGTAGTCCCCTATAGTGAAAAATATTTTTCCAAAAATTTCTTTTGTATCAGAATTAGGTGCTTTTTAGGTGCTCCTAAATAGTCGAAGAAAAAATAGAATTGATTAATTATTAACTGAGTTACAGATTTTTTTCTAATTATAAGGGGACTGCTGGCTTTACGTCTACTTGTTGGTGTGTCAGAATGGCCAAAAAAACTTTGGGATCTATATAATAATTAGGTGCTTTTTAGGTGCTAATTAGGGCCTTTAATTAAAAATTAGGAGCTCCTCTAATTTTTGAGAAAATCAAAAGATTGCTAGGTTTATGAAAGCTAGTAGTCCCCTATAGTAAAAAATATTTTTCCAAAATTTTCTTTTGTATCAGAATTAGGTGTTTTTTAGGTGATCTTAAATAGTCGAAGAAAAATTGGAATTGATTAATTATTAACTGAGTTACAGATTTTTTTAAAATTATTAGGGGACTGCTGGCTTTACGTTTACTTGTTGGTGTGTCATAATGGCAAAAAAACTTCGGGAGCTATAGAATAATTAGGTGCTTTTTAGGTGCTAATTAGGTCCTCTAATTAAAATTAAGGTGCTCCTCTAGTTTTTGAGAAAATCAAAAACAAACTAAGGGATTGCTAGGTTTATGAAAGCTAGTAGTCTCCCATAGTGAAAAATATTTTTCCAAAAATTTCTTTTGTATCAGAATTAGGTGCTTTTTAGGTGCTCCTAAATAGTCGAAGAAAAAATAGAATTGATTAATTATTAACTGAGTTACAGATTTTTTTTTTAATTATAAGGGGACTGCTTGCTTTACGTCTACTTGTTGGTTTGTCAGAATGGCAAAAAAACTTTGAGATCTATATAATAATTAGGTGCTTTTTTAGGTGCTAATTAGGGCCTCTAATTAAAAATTGGATGCTCCTCTAGTTTTCGAGATAATCAAAAAAAACTAAGGGATTGCTAGGTTTATGAAAGCTAGTAGTCCCCTATAGTGAAAAATATTTTTCCAAAAATTTCTTTTGTATCAGAATCAGGTGCTTTTTAGGTGCTCCTAAATAGTCGAAGGAAAAATAGAATTGATTAATTATTAACTGAGTTAAAGATTTTCTTCTAATTATTAGGGGACTGCTGGTTTTACGTTTACTTGTTGGTGTGTCAGAATGGCAAAAAAACTCCGGGATCTATATAATAATTAGGTGCTTTCTAGGTGCTAATTAGAGCCTCTAATTAAAAATTAGGTGCTCCTCTAGTTTTTGAGAGAATCAAAAAAAAACTAAGGGATTGCTAGGTTTATGAAAGCTAGTAGTCTCCTATAGTGAAAAATATTTTTCCAAAAATTTCTTTTGTATTAGAATTAGGTGCTTTTTAGGTGCTCCTAAATAGTCGAAGAAAAAATAGAATTGATTAATTATTAACTGAGTTACAGATTTTTTTTTAATTATTAGGGGACTGCTGGCTTTACGTTTACTTGTTGGTGTGTCAGAATGGCAAAAAAACTTCGGGATCTATATAATAATTAAGTGCTTTTTAGGTGCTAATTAGGGCCTTTAATTAAAAATTAGGTGCTCCTAAATAATATATAATATAGGTAAATATAAATAAACCTATCCGCTAAAAAACCGATTTTCAAAAAATCAAGATAGCTATTTGGTGTATTTTGTTTCTAGGAGTTTGGAAACGTTTTTTGAAATTTACTTAATTAGATTTTTCGTTAAAGCTTACACGTCTTCCAAGATTTTCCATAGTCAACTGAAAGAGAGAGATCGATTCAAATTTCGTATACAGCATATTTATTTCATAGATCAGGGGACCTGCTGGGGCAGCACCTGGAATTTACATAGCCTCCTGGGTAGAACAAGCACCACAAAATTTAAATGAAAGAAACAATGATTCCCACAGAAATAAAGAAAATTACAAGTTGGCAAAAAATAAATGGTATATTAACAGCACATTAAAAAAAAAAGGTAAAACAATGGTTTATGATAATTACTGAATATCGCATAGCAAAGCCACACCACGGAGACACCAGTGTTCAGGCGGTTTTATAGTCTGAAGCCAAAGTACAGTAATGAAATTGAGTCCAGTTCTTCTAGATTTCTTGTAAACCGGACACTGAAAATGTATAAGAAGAATTAGATAAGAATCCATTACATTTATTTGGCGATCATCCGGTAAACAATAACCTCAAATTATTTTAGCGAAAGCTCGGTAAATGAAATATCTACATATTTGCAATAATAATGCCATTTGTCAAATTTTATCAACAATAAAAAATAATGAAACATTACCGTATAGAGGGACGCAGGCTTTGGATCCGTAGAATAGATGGCAAAAATGTGAACTACGGGTATCATTGTATAAAGCACTTTGTTAATCGATTCGTTAAGTTTGGCATGCCTCCTATCCCAACCAGCTCCATCCAGGAAAAGTCCGTACACCAGTACACCTTCCTAAAACAAACATGGATGTGTTTCATTACTACACCATTTCAACATAAATTTCGGAAAAAGTAAGTTTTATTTAGGAAAATGTCAAGTCATTTCCGGAAAAAAGTCAAATTAATTTCAGAAAAACTAAAGTTAATTTCGGAAAAAGTAAATTCAAATTCGGAAAAAGTAAATTCATATTCGGCAAAAGTAAGCTATAAATGAATTTACATTTTCCGAATTTTCTTTTTCCGAAATTACCATTACTTTTTCTGAAATTGATTTGAGTTTTTCCGGAAATGACTTGACATTTTCCTAAATAAAAATTTCTTTTTCCGAAATTGAGGTTGAAATGGTGTAGGTATGAATTTTATAAGTTGTTGTTGAGGTTGATAATGTTCTACAGTTATTCATGAAACGTTGCTCCGCCCGAAGCTCTATAAACTATTAAATCAAATAATCTCAAAGATGGTTCTCATCGATGTTGATATAGGTAGTTTTCTCATTTAAAAATTTCTTGATAATGAAAAAACTACATTCTATTACAGTGATAAATAAGTGCGGCATCATTTTTAACTGTAATTTTTCGGTGTAAAAGTCTATGTTAAAATCTATCGAATAAATCATATATAATTTAAAATCCTTGTTAACTTACAGCTGGGGCAGCGTTTATTTCGTCCCTCGTATTTTTCAGCACCTCATTATGTAGGGAAACCTGATCCAATGCCCAACCTTTATGAGCTCTGGCTACTTCTTGCTTCATGGCCGTTAAGAAACCTTGAGGGTTGAAGAATCCAGCCATCCAAAAACAGAGCGGTCTACCTATAAAATAAAAAAAAAAAATCAAATAATTCGGAGCCCAGACGAAGTCTCTGTAACAACATACCACCAAAACACCAACTTCTAAACTGAGCATCCCTCTCAATTAGTTCCGTGAACCAGAAACCAAGAGTGTTTGCCTCCCATGAATCTCTACGCCAAACCATTGGGACTTTTGCATCGTAAATGCTATCAAGTGCGTCACCGAGAGCCTGAAGAAAAATTACATATAATGTTGTATAAACTTACAAATCCTATGGCCGTTTGCACCGACTATTTTAAGGAAGTCTTAGCGATAAGTATCCCTTAAAATGAAATTTTTACATGGAGAAATGTCACTTTAAGGAATACTTATCGTTAAGGCCTCTTTTAAATGGTTGGTGCAAACGGCCACTAATTGTATAAATTTAAGCTCAATGGCACAACAAATGATATTTTGCATTACCTACTACTTACATGTTATTAATACATACCTCACTCATTATTATAGTTCCTTCAATAGCTAGTAGAAGATCTGTCAAAGTAAATCTCACGAAGCTTATGACCTTTTGCATTCGATCGATCTCTTGTCTCAAAAAAATATTTAGTGGGTTCAACAAATTCATTGCTTTAAGTCTACAAATTTAAAAAAAATTAGTATCTTCAACAACAAATAAAGTTCGCTTATCCTCGTTGGCTGAAAAAATGTAGCATTAAAAATGATGACGTTACGAATAATTGCGTTTTTCTTATTTCAATAACTGTTGCAAAGTTTAACTATACAGGGTGTAAAAAAAATAGTGTACCAGACTTCGACGGGTGATACTACATATGAAAATAAAATAAAAAGTTTCTATGAACATACGCTATAAGATGATTGCTGAAGAAGTTACAGCCCTTCAAACGGTAGATGAAAATAATAAGATTATTTCTTTTTTAAAAACAGTGGAAGCTTTTTCCCTTGAAACTTGGTATGCTTGCATGCATTTCAATGCCAAAGCGAATGGTGATAGTAAAAAAATCCGCTACCGTTCTGGAAGGGTAGTTTCGATAAGGATAGAGGGTAGTTATTCACAAAACGAAAAAGCATTTTAGGACATATGTTCGTAAGAACTTTTTTTTCAGTTTTTATATGTAGTATCACCCCTCGATTTCCGGTACACTATTTTTTTTACACCCAGTATATTACCTCTCCTTCACTTCGAAAGGATCATAATTTTTTGGTAACTTGGATAACATGTCGTTGGCCTGTCTAGCTACAGTTGTTTCCCTGGATTCTCCACCACCACTACCAGATTCTTTAGGTTGAATAGACAACATTGTATCAAACATCTCTGTAGTTGTGTTGGTTTGGTATCTATTAAAAGTAGCTTTTAGAAGACATGTTAACTTCTTGGTGAGGATGAATAATTGTTTTGAAAGACCAAATAATAACTAACGTAATATCGGCATTAGAATGTAAACCATATGCTTGCGGAGGATCATTTGCCGCAAATCCATCAATGTGCGTGATATAGTCTGAAACTTGCTTGAATCTAACGACCTTATAGCCCTTATAGAAAATAAAGTCGTCCTTGAAGATATCATCGTTAAACCAAACTCGGCAAAATGTGTTTAGTAGTTTTTTATCAAAATCATCAGTAACTCTGCCTCCATAGTGGACTTCTCCCAACATATACCTAAAATATTCAAATATTGTAGTAGTCCAAATTACAAAATCTAATATTCACAACCTTAAAGTTTGCCAACTTATTCCTCTTTTCGGATCAATTTCATCTAAATGATTTTGTAAAAATAGGCAACTGGACAGCCAATCGGCAGAATTGAATTCGTATGGAATATTCCAACCGAGTGGCCCAAATTTGCGGCGTTCTTGAACCACTGTATGCAAAAAAGAAATGGCGTACACCAGAGGGATATATTGCCACACATCAGAATAGTCCAACATATCTTGGTTCATGGAATTATAGGTTCTTGAAAGTCCTATAATGGAAAAAATTATATAAAAAAATTCAACATTAAGTTGTTTTACTGTACCTGCACGTATTCCAGAAGGAGCTTCATTCGTAAATTTTATACAAATCTGCAATAAACTGATGGGAAACTTGGGATGTACTTCTGTTGTTATCCACAATCGAAAATCTGCGTGTACAAAGCCAATACCTTTTTCCAGCTCCAAAAATACCGCTAGCACTTCGGTCATATAGTCTAATGATAAATGGCAATTTTGCAATAAGGCCCAAAACCCCTGCAATAAGATAACGTTGGGAAATTTAAAATTAAAGGGATAGAAAAAGTAGTTTAGTTAAGTACTAAAGAAGAGAGATTATGCACAAAGTTAGGATTCATAATGACGTTCGACAAAAAAAGAAAAGCGTGTCACTTGTAGATGGTAATGTCATGGAATATAGTTATGAACGCGACGAGACCGCTAATAGGTAGGTATTTTAATTTCTCAACCTAAAATAATATATTGTTAATAGCTTACTTCTTGCATAGCTTGTGACATCATTTTTCTCGCATGAACTTCTTGACCTTGTCCCATTGAAATGCTCTTGCTTTTTAACTCCAGACGTTTGGCCAACGTTTCGATGTAAGGAGTTGGATCTGAGCCCATACTTAGGAAACAAACTAGGGGAGTGAGGGGACGAGATTCTAAGTGCATCACTTCAAAATTTAAAATAACCGGCTCTGCAAATTTTTGGCCTAAAGAATTCGCAATGTACTTTCTGCTTTGAGTTATAGTCCTGTCGGGGCACCAAGCACTAAAAAGTTCAGTTATATTTGGAAAAATAACCTATATTAATTAATACTTACCGAATTATTAAAAGTTTTCTAAAAGTATCTAAATTGTTGTAGCCGTCTGGTATGACAGATTCTTCTGGGGCATCTTTGTCAAACCACGTTTTCCACTGTTTATCATTAGCCGTGACTTGTTGAATAATGTATTGGAAATGTCTTAATTTCGATAGCTCAGTTAAATTAAGCCAAGTCAAGTCGTTAATCCATTTCGCTGGCTTAGGTGTACAGGCAGTTAGGTCTAACGCAGCCCCACCTTTTATAAAATTTTGAAACTCCTCGTGAGTTATATGTTCTCGATCTAAATCAATGTTTAGGCACATCAACAGCACAAACATATATTTATTGCACTCATATAATCCCCTAGACTTATATTTAAATATTTCATAAGTCAAATAATCAATTACGAGCCCAATTCTTTTCTGTACCACAGGAGTTTTCTCAGATCTGGCCATGGAAATATCAAAACGTTCCAAAAATTGAACCAAGGACGTCTGATACATACAGTTGACCATCGACATGCTTACTACCAAGAAATATAATATACTTCCTCTAGTGGCAATTGGTCTAAATTCTTCCCTGGCAATATTTATTTTTGTTTCAGTCTCTTTTGCAATCTGCAACTTTTCCCTTACTTCAGTTGCTGTATTTTTTGTAACGTTGAGCACTTCAATCACAGTATCATCATCCAGTAGTGAACCCTGAGTAGTGGTCAGTTTATAAAGTAGGTTCTGTTCCAGCTCCAACATCTTACGTCTGTTAGCAGTGACGTCTTTAATTAAAGTCGTTCTTTCAGTTTCCAACTCCTTTTTTTCGGTGAGAATTACTCGACCCAATAATTGATCTTCAAGACCCTTCATTGTAACAGTGAAATCGATTATGGAAGTTCTCGCAAATATTTCGGGTGTATAACTAGGATTGGCGAGCTTTGTAGTTATGTATAACCTAAACTTATCATTCACATCTACTTCTTTGTCTCCCACTTTTACCTTGAAAGTGGTGCCGATTTTTATATGATCTTTTTCCAAAACGTGATCTAATGCCGGATCAAGTTCTTCGGCAATGTCCTCAATGATCATTGGATAACCTAGAGATACGGCATCTTCGATGTGGTTTCTATAAAAAGAAGATATAAGAAATTGTAGTTTATTAATGGATAAATTCTGATGAAATAGTTTTGATATTAAGTTCATACAATAACTATCAAATAATATTTGAAATTGATTTGTCAAAATTTAGCTTAGAGTGTTCATGTAATTTTTTTGTCTATTTGCCATATTTCCATTGATTTTAGAGGAGCCCTGAAGTACAGAAGAGATGATGAGGTGCTTGTAAAGCAGGAACGCTAAATCAGAGCTCCAACAAAGCTAAAAGTTCCCACCCGAAACAGACCGTTCTTCACCTACCAGCTCAAACAAGATGAGGAGTTGTCTGCGAATTACCAAAAGATATTGGCACATAAGGCCTCAGCTCAACAAATTTGCGGTTTGAGTAATGCGTCTGTCCTGAGAATGTCTTGAGATTGCACCCTGAGAAGAGTCTGTTGAAATGTAAGGATCATTGCAGCTCCGTGGGGTAAATAGATTCCAGTTATCTTTTTTTATCAATTTAGTATAAACACTTTCATCATTCAATCTACTTAAACTGCTGACTGGTGATCAAAACTTCTAAGCTCTTTGAAGAATGCCCTAAGTGGGGCCGGAAGTAAACATTAAAAACCGCAATTATAGTGGAGAACATAACTTGGTCCTGGAGCAACAACATCAAGAAATTAAGAGAAGAATTTGATAATAATATCAGAGTAATAGAAATGTAGGAAATACATGCAAATGAATGGTAGGTACCGGCGCTGTTCAAGACGACGCGTCGCAATGACCATAGTGACAAAATCACACAGCTAATCTTGCTTGACGCTAGTAAATTGATAAATATGATAATTTTATATTCACTTACCTGAAATATTTATGATTTAGGGATGAAACAATAAGATTATTATGTTTTTCTTTATTTTTAATCCAAGCCTTTCCTTGGTTCTGTGGATCAATTAATAGGGGAAATCTTGACGCTGTAGTTACAATTATTCCATTTTGAATTGACAATTCGTCCGTGGGTAGCCCTTGTAGATTCCACTCCCCTATCTATGAACATAATATGTAACAAATAAACACGTAGCTCAAAACTTATCATGGGTATACAGTCGTCTAACTTTATTTTAAAGAGTCTAGCTTTTCGACGTTTAGTATGGTTGGCGGTTGGTAGATTGTTTGACGTTGTATGGCTGAATTAGTTATAATGAAGCACTCTCCACTTTATCTAGCATTAATCGATTTAATAAAAAAACGTTTACTTATATCTAATACTTACAGTCGCAATATCCGTTAAGCTGTCGATAATATTTAGACTGACTGTCGTGGGTATTTTCCTTCTTGTCAAAGAATCTAGCCAAGTTTGTTGCATGACGCTCCTGAATTCTTGATTGAACGGCCCAGTGTAACCAAGGAATCCAGTTAACAGGACTACGTCGCCGATCAATCGCTCGGTTTCAGCTTTGAATTGTGCTAACTGATCCGTCCAACGAACCCTTTCTCCTGCTAAGCCATCTATAAGTGCTGTGGCTGCGTCCATTTTGTTTTTCACTTTCATTGCTGCATCAAATATTTCCTAAAATATGATAGCATATCAGCACTCGGATACCCTATCCATTCAAGAAGAGAGAGGCACCCTTTCGATTCGAAGAAGAGACGGTAGGAAAACAAAGGGACTCGACAGTGCTCATGACTCATGACAGTTTTCGACAGCTAGAACGCTTCTCCTCCTCAATAATGTTTTGTTTGTGATAAGGTTTGTCATTCGATAAATCAGTTTCGAATTATCGAAACCAGTTATTTCAAAGGAGAAGGGCATGTTTTAATGTTTTAAAAGATTGCTGCATCAATGGCACTGGACAAGATATTTTTGAAGTAATGGTAGAGGAACCTCCAAGTTACATAGACGACACTCAAGATGACCTGAGAAACACAGAAGAACCCGATGAAACCCTAGTATTGGAGCAGATATCTTGAAAAGATAAAAGAAAGATTGGGCGCTTCTAAAATCTTCAAAAGACCACCAAGTTTGTTGAATGATTAGGTCATGAGTTGTTTGTATTTAGACGTAGATAAGCCTACAATATACAAAAAGGTTTTGGAATACAAGTAGGTACATATATTGAAGGCATCAATAAATGGAGCAATGAGCGCATCAATCTAGGCATCAATAGAAAATGACACTGGCAGTTATTAAAAAAAAAAACAGTGAATTGTGAAATATTTCCTGACTTCCTCAGTAAATTTTGAAAACACTTCTTGGAAATGTTTACCTGTTTTTTAGTCATTGCTTCCTCGTAAAGATTTTGACATTGTCTCACTTCTTCTTCTTTTTCAGCTAACAACGACATGGCGGCATGCAACTCTTCTTGGGCTCTCGTTAGTTTTGCTTGCTGAATAGTCAGATTTGCCTGTATAATATTTATTTTGTTTTAATATGTTCAAATTTAATAAAGGAAAATTTTATACTTTTAACGGCAGCACCTCTCGATTCACTTCAAAAAACGCAGACATGGCTATAGTCCAAGCTATTAGCCCAGCTACATTACCGCATGCAGTCTTGGCTGCTTCGTAGGTATAGAGTGGATGAGTTAAGTATGGTTGCAACAAATCTACGGTTTCTGCATTTATAGTATCTTTTGGATACTCCTGCAGACGTCTCAGGAATGAAGTATCTGCCATAACCTACAAATAATTTGTGTATTATTTATTAGGTATATATTTTTTTTCATACCTTCAAAGAGTCAGCCCATGAAGGTACCAAAAAGTTTTTCTCGTAATCTGGTTTCGTAGGTTCCATTTTTCTTTTGAAATATATCAGTACAGCATCCATAATTAATAGAATCAGATATGGAGGCTTCCCGAGCTTCCTCACTGTAGCTATATCAGCAGCTTTGATAGTCTGGAAATTATTAATTTATAAGAAATTGAAGGCACACGATCCTATCCCAGTTATTATTTTACCAATAAAGCTGCCTCAGCTGCATCTAATGCTGGCTTGGCAGCCAATAGCTTGGCCTCTGCTTCCTTTTGGTCAACGCTGATAATAGTTACTAAGTGTTCAGCCCTTTCTTTGACGATTGTGGCTTCTTCTTTAATTTTCGTCGCTATCTCACTGGCAGCTAATACTTCAGATAGTACCTAATAAAACCATATTTGGTTGGAACTTACAACATATATCTCAAATTACTTGTTTTGATAAGGACCGGATGACCTTTAAAACTATGTATCACACCAAAGTGCTAAACAAGCACAGCGCGTCACTAGACAACAACTGTACATAATAAGAGAAATAATTTTTAAAATTTTACATGTTCAGCAGCTTCAGTTGCTACGACCATCTCCTTTTCTTTGACCGCCAACTCGGTCCTCAAAATATCAACACTTGCTTGGGCTTCTACTAGTTTTGACAGTCCAGTCTTCATTCGCAATGCTAACACTTCAATGTCGTCCACTTTTTTTTTATAAACAATTTTATAGGCAGCCAAAAATGATATAAACGTTTTTGGTGTGACGTAGGTTCTTCGCCGGAATCTAAAAATTAAATTAAAAATATTTTTGTGTACGATCTGGCGATATGCTGAATAAGAAATTCGCAAATTCAATTTCAGGAATCGACAGCCGAGGAAAACTCCACGATAAAATATAAAGTCATAGGCCAGGGCAGATAAATTTTTTCGTAACATAAAATTTAACAGCAAACTATCGATGCGGTATTGTTAAGGATCATTTATAGATGCTAAATACCAAAAATGCAACATCTAATTACTTTTATGTCATACCAATACATTATTGTGTTTTTATACCTTAGATACCATCTACATAATTCATTACTTTATGCCCGTGCGGGCATAAAGTACACATTATGGCCCGCGCGGTCATAAAGACGCAGAAAACAGTTTTCAATTAACTTATTCTTTATTAACAAAATATAAATTTACGCTGATAAACAAATTATTTTTGTCAAAAAATTATGATGTTTGCACACTGATGACAATTTGTGAAGTGACACTTTTTTCCCAGGTATTTATTATTCACAACCAACTGGTATGACATAAAACTTTGTATGCACCACGGGTACTAATAGATTTTTTTCCCCCAAAAAAAGAGATTTTCGTAAAAAATTCCTAACTTTTTTAATTTTCATGCTAGACAATTAATTTTTCACACATAAATTTTTATAGTAGATGAGGCAGGCTTTATTGAGCCCAAATTTAGGCCCGGTCCGATAGGTCGTTTCGGCATAATACCCTTGTCAAGCAAAATGGGGATGTTTCTAAAGCAGTCTGTCGAATTGAGGATAATTTTTTAATATTTATTTTGAAAAGTCCACTGATAAGTCGAAATGCCAAACTATCGATCCTCTAGCTCAGATTTTCCATTTAATTTTTTTATCGCAAGTAAAACGGCTCCATCAAGTGTAGGAGCAATTTTTTTTAATTTTTTTTAATAAACGTGGCATCAGATATTTAGCCTGTTTCGTGTTAAATGGTACTATGGACGGGTAAATCTTTTCCTGCAATAGGGGTTTCGCCCGGAACCTTGGACGGGTAATCTCTATTGCTCTTGGAACTTCGCCCGGAACCTTGGACGGGTAGTTCTGTATGAGAGATTTTCGCCTCGAACCTGGGACAGGTATTTCGCTCCGAAGCTTATATAGTATCTCTAATCCGTTAAATGCACGATTAGAAAACTGACACTTATGTAGTTTCGGGTGGTATCCGTACATTTGCTTGGGTCACCGGAGTTTATTTTACCGCTTTATTGCTATAGAATTTTTCATACCTATTTAGTAGTACTAGTCGTTCTAGTGACTTAACGTATGTCGCTTCTTGAACACACAAATAAAATTAGGTTAGGAATTTTCTATTTGTACATGAAATTGACGTATTAGAAATCGACGTTCGTTTTTGTTGGTGATTTTTTGTTTCATTTGATTCGTGATTGATAAATAAGAAGGGGGTTTATTCTAAATAGGTATTAAATATACTATACTTAACATTTGCCGTTAGCGTTAACGTTACCGGAACCTTTAGAGCTACCGTAAGGCTGACCGTTCCGTTAACTTTGCCGGACACGCTTTTCACCGCCCGCATGGACACTCTTTTACCGAACGCACATAATCTTTCACTCATGTAATTACCTCTCTCTTTCTCACGCATCCCCGTTTATTCTCTCACATCGTAATTAAGGGTTTCCTGTAAATATTTCCCAGTAATACTGTTATATTTTCTTAAATTTATCTACTGTTGTCTATTTTTTCTTTTCTCTAAACCAAGGCTTTCAGAAAATTTTACAGAACAAGCGTCTGTGACCCCTGGGCTGCGTTCAGGAATGGCTACAGCCAAGCCAAAATTGGCATTTTGCGTTCGAGTTCGGCTCCAACCTACGTGGTTCGGCATTACAGGTGGAGGGGGAAAAGCAAGTTTTGGCATTAGCATTGCCTTCCTTGAACGCACCTCTAGATTACGGTTTTTCCACTGTGGTGCACGTGGGCCCTCAACCACTTTGATCCTGGGGATGGCGCTCGAAGCGAACCGTTAGATAAACCGACTTACACTGAACCCGCGTCCATTACGCAACAAAAGCGCTTTACAAAATTGGCGCCCGAGCAGGGACCGTAAGTACTTTTGAATGCCGTAGGAGTTTAATCATACTAGGACCGTTCACCATACCATGCCAGAAGGCACCGGCAACAATCGAAATCCACCGGTTACCAGCACACCGAATACCATTGCATCCACCGTAGCTACAAACAGTTCAGTAAAGTCGCCCGGGAATGTACCAATAACACGTACTCCGTTTGGTACTTACCGAATTCCGTTACACTTGGGAAATATTACGCTGATCAAAAACATAGGTTACTTTCCGCATAATTTTGCCCCTGAAGATGAAACTGTCTAGTTTCGAAGCTAGTAGGGCTTTTAGATCTGATAAAGATATATTTGTGGAGGAAGACTGGGTGTTTTTCTTTGACAATAAAACACTAGACGCTTCAAATCTGTGCAGCCCAATTGGTCCGATTGAGCGGACGTCAAATGTAGAGCTGACAAAGAGTGAGGCAAGCCGCCTGAAAGAATTTTTGGCTCAGGAGCTACCAGAGTTTGAGGAAATCCAGGCGACTACACCATTAATTCAACACTCAATTCAACTTCTTAAACCGGAACCAATCAAACAGAGATACCGTCCGCAAAACCCTAAAAATAAAAACAATGTTAGCAGAGACTTCTTCCAGTCCGTGGAGTTCACCAGTGGTTATTGTTCGGAAAAAGGACAGCAAGTATCGGTTTTCTATTGACTTTCAGAAAATCAATACCATTTCCAAAAAGGATGCATACCCCTTGCCCTACATCAATGCCATTTTGGATGAACTTCGTCGGACACGTTACATTTCCAGTATCGATCTCAAGCAGGGTTACTGGCAAATCCCGCTGACCGACCACAGTAAACCGATAAACGCCTTTACAATGCCTGGCTTAGGCTTATTTCAGTCTCGAGTTATGCCGTTTGGCCTCCATTCCGTACCCGCCACCTTCCAAAGACTAATGGACCGTATAATTGGACCCGAACATGATCCTTATTGCTTCGCCTATCTCGACGATATTATCGTTCTAGGGAAAACCTTTACCGCACATCTCGATAACTTGAAGGAAGTTATGTTAAATCCAGAAAAATGCCAGTTTGGCTGGAAATCTTTACGGTACTTGGGACATCTATAGTCACGGCGCTGATTCAACACGGACCGGATGGGGATCATGGAATCGCCTACGCCAGCAGGACTATTAATGGCAACGAAAAAAGGTTTTCCGTGACGGAAAAGGAGTGTCTTGCTATAGTTTGGAGCATTGAAAAAATGAGACCCTATTTGGAGAGGGCTACCATTTTACCGTGGTGAACGACCACCAGTCTCGATGGCTTCACTCTATCAAAAGTCCAGCTGGTAGGCTGACCAGATAGAGCATGTACCTTCAGGGATTTTGACCGAGTAGCTGATGCTCTATTCAGAGATCCCGTTGAAACCGAGGCTGAACACTTGAACCCAACTCCTATCGTTTCTTTGAAAGGTTTCACTCCGTGTTTTTAGTATAAATCCAAGTAAAATGCAGTTGAAGGCAATCCTGTATCTTTTCCAGACTACTGTGTTAAGGAGGGCTGGCTACACCGACACTTCTGGGATATGTCCGATCTTACTGAGTCCGCCCGTAAAGATGTTCTGAATTAAAATCACGATGTTCCCACCTTCGGGCACCTAGGGATTGCAAAGACTACCGCTCGCGTAGCAAGGAAATAATATTTGCCTGGAATGCTTGGGGATATCGCTCGTTATGTCCGACACTGCTCATAGTGTCAGCGTTTCATAAGGAACAGTAAACCATGGGCAACTGTCAGGACCGACTTAGTTGGTCCGTTGCCGCGCTCTTCTAAAAGAAGTTGCTACATCGTTGTTTTCCAGGACCGATCTAAGAAATGGATACAATGCCGGGCTATTCGAACAGCCACTGCAAAAGCGGTAAGCATGGCGTTCTACGAAGACATTGTAACTAAGTTTGGGTGCCCACAGACCGTAAATTCCGATAATGAAGCTCAATTTACCGGACAGACTTTCAGAGAACTGAACGCTGAAGGCGTCAATCGATTTTTTTGTACCTGTCGGAGGCATGTTGAGTAATACTGTAATATATGTGATTTCTATTCTCGAAGGAAGGACCCAATACACAATCTTGAGAGGAAAAATTAAGCAGTAGGTATTCGTCTGGTATCTTGAGGGAAATAAAGTAGATACTGCGGGTCCTTTCTCTACAAAAGATTCGGGAAAAAGTAACCACCTCATAGTTGCTCTGGACTATTTTTCGATGGGCCAGAATTATTTCTAATTTTCCGATTAATGAGTGGTTGGGTATAGCTGCTGAAGCATTATAGTCCAAGAGCCCAGAGCCGCCAGACACAACTTATTTTCTAAAGGAAAGAATATGTGGGATTGTGTAGTACTTATATGTACTATGAACGTATGTATACCCGCTAAGTTGGGTAGACGGCCAATTTACCGACACCAGGTGCGAAAGCTTAAGAAGTACTTTAACTTTTTTTCTAACGCTTGATTTTTATACATGTTATTGGGGAGACTATTTCATAACTACGTGTGCTCAGCCAGACCAATCGCACCGGCCAAACATCCCCCCAGACGCAATAATAGTTTTTCCGTGAGTGTGAGCGCGAGGGTACTATGAATGCGTTTGAGAGTGAGCGAGATATCTATTTCCCCCTCTTAAACTTACAGTCTACTCCAGGCTAGAGTAGAAATGGGATTCGGTTTTTCCCATAATGGGAAAACCCGTTATTTACAAATAACAGTCAACTGGCCGTCTACCCAACTTAGCGAGTATACATACGTTCATAGTACCTATAAGTGCTACTCAATCCCACATATTCTGTCCTTTAGAAAATAAGTTGTGTCTGGCGGCTCTGGGCTCTTGGACCATTATTGGAAAATATAATTTCCAGACACAGGCTACCGATAAAAATTCATACTAGTCAGTAATAAAATCAACTGGGAATAAAGAAATCGGGAACGATTCCACTTCAAAGTTCGACAGAATAGCCGAGTGGTACAACTGGTCCATCAATAAATAACTCTCGATGTTTGTGGATCAACATCACATCAGCAAGACTGGTTCCAGTTCTTCTTTTCTTTCCCTTCTGGCTTATAAAAGCCCTCAGCACAGATCGACCGCCGTCTATACACGATCGATGTGATTGACTGGAAGAGTATTGAAGCTTATTTCAAAAGTTTGATGTTTGATAGACAACCAGCAGATAAAGATGAAGCTGTACTTCCGGTTTACGTGGGTGATCTTTAGAACAAGCACAGAGCAGTTCATGAGTCCGCCAGGAACAGATTACGTCTGAGCAGCGACAGAACGAAAATAAGTTCCGACACACGGCAGACTTAGATCATCTTTAATAAAGGTGATGCTGTCATGAGTAGCTTTTCGGAGCGAACATCTTCAAGGAAGAGAGAGCTGCAGAGTTCAAAATTCCTCAAATTGGGAAAGTTGTGCACAATTTTGCAACACTGCCTGATTACTGGAAAAGTCGCAAATCGAATTCCACCACGCAATAGTCTAGAGAATTTGAGACGAATGAATCTAATAAATAGTGGTACGTGAGTTGATAGTAAAACAGTGACTTGTGATTCAATGTTGTAACTAGTAAAGCTTGATTGTATTGGAGTAACTACAAAAAACTAAAATCATTATACCTAATTTGTACTGCTGGCTGGATAGTAGACTGTTTAAACTAATTCCAACACTTTTGAAGTAGGTAGTTTTGAGAGAATTATTATAATTTGAAATAATAATAAAATATTGAAAATACCTTTCGTAATATTTTTCACAGAAATCTGAAACTCCATCATGCACTTCTGCCATGATCAAAACTAGTTCATTTTTCACCTCGGGGGATGCGACTAGATTATAGGGGCCTAAGGAATATTGGGAAACTTCTTCCAGGGCATCTTGGGGCCACTTTTGGAACCAATTAATGGTGCATCCGGAAATCAGACCAGGAAACTTGAGGGCTCTGCTCCGAAACTTTTCACCAACCTATAAAATACAGCAAAAATTATTTATAATTCCATTAGTAACATTTAGAAACACATACCGGTGAGAAACATAGAGCTACATGCAAATTTTGTCTTGCTCTAGACAAGAAAAAATCATAGAGATTATCACCAGTGGGCGGTCGTTTGGGTTGAGCTTTTTTCATTATTGGTATGAGCTCTGATTGTATTTCATCCAATTCATCTTTGGCAAACAGATTGGCTATTTCTCCGGAACTTAGGATGTTGTTTATACTTTCCAGGAATGTTTCTTCTTTTATTTCGTTGTCGGTGAAGATGAACGTCATACCCTGGCCGTGAAGCCCAGCCACTCGATAGAGTTGTTTCATATCTTCCATCATATTGCTGACATTGTAAGATCTGAAAATCAAGATTTGTAAATTTTTAGTGGTTATAGACAGACACAATAAAATTAGACATTTCCATGCAGAATCCACTTTATTTTTAAAATAGAACCGTAAAACTATTGTCATAATGATTTATTGCAGCCTTCACAAAAGGCCTATGATGTATTTTTCTCTGCTATTTCAACAGCAGCGTTAAGTTATGTCAGTATTTATTCTATACGTTAAAATAGACACATGTAGGGATGTTGAGCTATAATTGAAACAGGAAATGATACATCATAGGCTTGATTGCTTTTGAACTAACCTTGTTAACTGGATTTGGAAACTGCTATAATTTGCTATGAATGATGATAGGCGAGTTAAACTTTGTTTTCCAGAACCACCAACACCAACTAGCAGAGCGTTTCCTCTTGGCGTCCTTATGACTCTTGAAATTATCATTAAATTGACCATTGCATCATGGAAAAACACCAAATCCATTGCAGTACCTCGTACCGCTTCATTGTATTCGGCAACAAACACTAAAATAATACAGAAAATTAGAAATTTTATTAAATTTTGCAATATCGTTGCAAAATATTTATACAAGGGGTCAAAGAGGACCGCTAGTTCGAAATATAGGGAAACAGTTATATTTTTCTTTTGAGCTTCAATCACAGATTACTGCGCAAGCAAGAGCTTATTACTGTATTATGTCTCAATTCGATTCAATTACGGTAGATAGTCAATCTAGAAATACTTACTGAACAGCTTTTCTTTGAGAAATTCCCAACTTGGAATTTCCTCGTATATTTTCGGAGCTTCAAAAACAAAATCGTCTGGCTCTTCCCCAGTAGCCTCAGGAGGTTCTCTAAGGAAATCCACCCAAAACGTTTCATCTTCGCTGTAGAACTCAAAATCGTCCCCAAGTTCTTCCTTTGCCTGTTGCTTTAGCGCATTTTCGAACCATACCTTATCGGGTATCACAGTAAACCTACAATACGTAATTGAAATATTTCAACTTTCACCTAATTTTTATTGAACGAAGTTTATTAAAAAGAGATACTAAAACAAGTCCCGATTTGTTTCGGTCAATTAAGCGTTCATCCACATCAGAGGCTTCATTTACCAGTTACCGGTTAAATTAAAAAAATACAAACATTGCTTGATTACGGACAAGAAGGACTGATAAGAGGTTGTATATCTAACTAATTACGTAAATCTGTTTTCCGATTCCCTTAGTTCACAATTTTAATTTCAGTTTACTTATAGTTTTTCGGAGGAGGACTCCAGAAACAAATAGAATTGTAGAAATTCTACATAAAACGTTACAGTTCTCTGCGATCGGCGGTAGAAGCCAGGTCACAAGATTTTTTGTTGCTGATTGTAAATAATCAAAAAGGAAAAATGTGTATCCATGACAAGTTTTGTGAATTATTTATTCAGTGTGTAAATTGAGGCTTCTAGAAAAAGAATTGTTGGAGGATGCCCAGGAAATTAGGAGATTTAATTGGTGGGTCTTATTGAGTAATTGCATTCATGAGCTAGGTTGCCTTATTGTTAATTCAAGATCCTAAGAATGGGTCCTGCTCTCAGGGAAGATAACTATGGAACGATGATAAAGGGACAAAGGGCCTAATAGATATACAGGGTGTTCATTTTGAAACTTACCACCCCTATTATCTCGGAGTTGATTTTTTTTTTTAATTCCTGAAATACGTCAACTATAATTTGAGGGTGGATGAGCTTTTATGCAAAATTCACCTCCCCCCTTCCAATCCTCTAGCCTCCAGAGCCACCCTCTAGAAACTCTTGAATGGGAGGAGGACAAGTGATACATCATTTTGGAGGGTTTTTAATTCCATACATTTTGGTACCAAATTTTAATCCCTAAGTTCAACTGTTTTGGAAATATAATATTGATAGTTAAAAATTGGCTTTTTTGCTACTTTTACAGGCTGTAAAGCTTAAACGGTTAATTTTAGAGGAAAACCAGTCTCACATTCTTCTTAGATTTTTATAAACTATCATTTGACATCAACTTTGAATTTAATCCATGATCAGAAATTCCGGGTAAAACTTTAATCTCCGGTTAAATTCAAAGCTGGTGTCAAATGATAGTTTATGAAAATCTAAGACAAGAATGTGAGATCGGTTTTCCTCGAAAATTAACGGTTCAGGACTTATAGCCTGTCAAAGTAGCAAAAAAGTCAATTTTCAACTGTCAATATTTCCAAAACAGTTGAGCTACGGGATTAAAATTTAGTACCAAAATGTATGGAAATAAAAACCCTCCAAAATGATGTATCACTTGACCCCCCTGTGTGGTGGCTCTTGGGGCTGGGATTTGGAAGGGGGGAGGTGAATTTTACATAAAAACTCACTCCCCCTCAAATTATAGTTGACGTGTTTCAGGAATTTTTACCAGAAAATTTTTCTACTCCGAGATAATAGGGGTGGTAAAGTTTTTTTTTTTTTTTTTAAGATAATAGACCTATCTATTTTACCAGACTCGGCGGCATAGTTGATTGGGAAATAGAACCTACGGAAATCCTCTAAAAATTCGGTCCACGTAGTCCAGTGGGGACGGTTATTGCGGAACCAGAGTGCCGCCTCGTCTTGCAAGAGTTCAGGCATGTGTGGTAGTAGTCGGTCAATCAGGATGTCTTGGGACGTGCATATTTCCTGAAGCTGTTAAATAAACGTAACTGGATCGGTACGGCTGTCAAAATGTATATTCCACTGAGGGCATAGGAGGTCCATATTATGAATACGTCACAGGAGTAGAAACTGGTGCTTGTACGGTTATCGTGGGTTTCGGGGTAGTGCTAGTGGTAGCACTGCTACCACTAGTACTTATCGGTGGTAGAAAAATAAAGGGTTGGGTGTTAGGGGCCAGTGTGGCTTTCCCTGATTTGATGTAGGTGGCCAGTCGCTTCTTTAGTATATCTACGGTTTCTGGCGTATCCAACCCAAACTTATTTATCGTCTTTCCTTCGAAGATGAATTCAGCTGATTCGGACGTCGTTAGGATCGGAAAGGACAGCTACGGTAGTAAATACGGTGGGCGGCATCGTCGTAGTTCCTAGTACGGTGACGGTACTACTACCAGGTGAACTCGTAATGGACGGTTGTGGAGCACCATTAGCAGTACCTCAGATCATTCTGGTTTCGACGGTTAGCTTTCCCTTCGAATTTTTGTGGGTTTGGTTGTACTGGCGGTTGGACACGGATAGTGTTCGATCGGATCGGTCCTCTAGATACGGCTCGGTCGCAACAATTTAGTAGATGTTGCTCCTTCGATTGTTCGATCAGGACTTTCTAGTAGATGTTGCTCCCTTGCTTGATTGATCAGGACCCTCTTGTAGCTGTTGTAGAGATTTTATATTCTAAGGAAGGTGGTAATATGCGTCTGACATTGCTGCGCACATTCTCTCTCCACCCTCAGACGGTATGAAGTTTGAAATGGTGCAGAAACGGACTTTGTTATATCTCTGGGCCGGCGGGCCTGGTCTGTGAGAAAATAGCAGCGAAAAGGTTATTAATTCAACAAATTGAGCGGTTTCGGAAACTTTGAATTAAAAAAAATAAATAAATCAGCGACCTTAGATTAATCGAAAACGAGAAACAACTCGAGATTTTGTCGGAAAAGGGGGATCTCGGCTCAATACGATACAGAACCACCAAGATGGTGGTTCTCTATCGTATTGGGCCGAGATGGTTAAAATTACGGACGGACCGTATGGGCTGAAATTCACCATCTCTGGGGCGGCCGGTAGACATGCACAGAACAGTTCAAAATAGAGCGGTCAATCTTTTGACAAAATGCGGGCTGAAAGTTCCTTTGAAACGGTATGGTTTCGGTCATCCCAACGGTCGGTCACCAAAAAACGGCCACTCGGTAAAACAGGGGACGGCTGATAACGTAATCTCCTCGGTCCTAATCTGATATCATTCACATGCGCAGAAGGGTCCCTGCTCGGGCGCCAAATTTCGGTTGATTTCCAGCGGTTTTCTTGGGCGCCATCCTCAGGATTAGAGTGGGTGAGGCCCCACTTGCACCAGGTAGCTTTTTACAGTGGAGAAGAAAAACCGTGCGCAGGAAAAGAATAACTCCAATCAACTAAATAACCTGTTTATTCTCACAACAGATCAAACAGGAAAAAATACGTAAAGCCTAACCAAGAAACAGTGAGGGGGGAGCAACGAAAGATTAGAGAGCGTTTCGGTAGATCGTAGCGGAAGCGGTAACGCGTTACGGTAAGGTATATGGTACGAGAGCCGGCAACATTCGGTACGGTTCGGTAATCGGTGTAATTCGGTACAGTTCGGTAGTCGGTATAATTTGGTAATCGGTATAATTCGGTACGGTTCGGTAATCGCCTTTGCCTTCAGCTCGTATAACTTGTATAAGTGAAAGCTTAAAGCGCTTGCGCGAATGAGACGGATCGGCCGAGCGCCGAGCAAAGGTATTAATACTGAGTTTTCCCAGACGGAGAGAGGGATATGGCCGTAACGAACCAGCACGATAGCCTTCTAACCCGTCGGCGCAGAAAAGAATGGTGCTACTCTGTAACGGTCCAGTCTGTGGCCCCATTTCCCTCGCATGAGAATGGCGAATATGGAGACTGAGAACCTAGAAGGCGTAAGGGATATCGCGGTAAACCCCGACCCTTTGGCATAGCAGATAATCAGGCCTATGATGTATCCTGTCCTGTTATTTTAACGGCTGTGTTAAGGCACAACATCTATTTCCGTCTCTATTTTGACGTATAGAATAAAGAGTGACAGATAACTTAACGCTGCTGTTAAAATAACAGAAAATGATACATCATAGGCCTGAATGATGCCACCCTGTAACGGTCCACCCCGTGTCTGCATTACTCTAATGCGTGAATTGCGGAAACGGTGATTGTAGATCTTAGAAAGCGTGAGGAAGATCGAAGGCGCGCGGACAGCGGTACTGCAGCACTCTTTGCCGGCAAGGTCACGCGTAAAGGAATAATAAATATAAATATGAATCGCAATTTAATTAATAATGAAAATTCTAGTAACTTCGTTACAACTAGCAGGAATCATTCAAATTTCAAAGTTACACCAAACAAACAATCACATATTTTTTCACGAGTATTTACCTCTTATAATTAACATAAGAAAACAGATAATGTAAAGACGGATAGATAGCCACCATGATGGGATTTCAGAATATGTAACTATTGAGACAAGCATTTCCCTTTCCATGATGTATGATGTATTTACGGTTACAGACCTCAGACGTCATGAATTTTTTTAATAATTAATCTCAGAAACATAAATACTCACCTATCAGATATAACCCTTTGGCATTCGTGTCTCCACAATTTCAACATTTGAGTTTTATTTGCACATTCGAGGTTTTGAACAGTTAAAATGCCTTGCCATATCCTAGACAAGTCTCTCAAATTGAATACATAATGAAATTTGGCTGGTGTAGGCAACATTTTTTGCTTCGTTTTCTGCCACACGTGACGGGTGAGAGGAATTAACTTTGGGAGAAATGCTACAATTTCTTCATTGAAACGTTCTATGCAGAAATAGCCCTCGCCAATTTGACCTAGAAAATTTGAATTGTACGGTTGTTCTATAACTAACTCTTACATATTAGCTTCCTATTATTATTTTTTTTAAATAAATAAATGAAAGTAATTCAACATAACTGTTCTCGTAACATCACTTACTAAATATCAAATCCATTGAAGTAACACTCGGCAAGGTACAGTTAAAAATACAAAAGTGTCTTTTCAGTCTGTGAGGAATATCATTTCTACCTCCTCCTGGATGGATCATAGCGGAAAGTATCATCACGTCCGCAATGAAAGAGAAATCACCTGGTTTGTCCAAACTGAAAAATCCACCTGAAAATTTTGTAGTTCTAATGAGAAATATTTAAACAATAAGCGTTATAAGAACCATTTTCCATAAGTTGTCGGACGATTTCATTGGTAATTTGGTCACCCCAGTCGTTGATGACAGGCATATTAATATCGTCTATGAAAATTGTTAGCGTTTTCCCAGCTGGTGGACCGTAGGTAGTACCAACTCTTTTGTCAACATATGATTCAATAATTCGCTGAAATATTTAAAATTATATTTGACATTGTAATTTGGATGAATAGTAGTAATTGTACCTACCTGAACCATATTAGGAGTAGTTGCTGAAGAGAAGTTGAAAGCTTTGCTCAATTTGTATTCAGGGTCAAACATTGACATATATCCTTTAATCATTACTGTTTTTGCAGTACCAGGCTCACCTAAAATCGATTCTCATGTTATTCGATAAATCGTCATTCGCTTATATTATATTCACCGATTAAAAGTACTGCTTTATTTTGCTTAGCAATACTATGAATCAAAAAGGCCGTTCTAACGTTATCTACATTCGGAACTAGGATGTTTGTGAATTCGAGGACCGAATCTTTCGGGTAAATAAATTCCTCGACTCGCTCTCTCCAGTGCTCCCATTTTCCGTTTTCTGGATTCACAACATATTCAAAAATTGTTTCATTCTCCTTGCATTTGGGCCAATCCATTTTCGATGGATGCGCTAGGGCAAATTCTTCCAGTTTGGCTCGATCCTCTAGTTCTAGCAAAGAGCCCAGTGACCACATGACAGAGAATAAATATAATCTCTCTAATTGCTTGTCGGTCCATTGTTCTGAAAAATAAATTTTGTGTAAGTGTTGCAAATTGTTTATATTTTTACATCAACTTTATGACTATATTTCAGTGATCCGGTTAATAGCCTAGATTTACAGGATTTTTTCGAGCTACCAGATTTATTTAAAACTTACTTGGCTCGTCATAAATATCGAGGATGCCTTGCAAAACATCGTAACATTGTCTAATGTATAAAGCCTCTCGTATAAACATTTTGGGTTTCAACCTAGTTTGAACATATATTTGGAGGTCACCAAAACATTTATTGAATATATTTCTTAGAGCGTCAGCTTCCTGTTGCTGTCTAGTTTTTAGCCACGAATCCAGAATTGGACCCCAAGGTAATACTGAAGAGCTCATAAATACCATTCCTAAAAAAAAGTAGATAAAGGTTATTATTATTTAAGAAATCTGGAGGAACACCATCGTCAAAAGCATAATCATACATAGTTAAGAGGTGCAAATGACCACTGAAGGACAGAACCGCAAAAATGCTAGAGGCAACTGAAATGGACTTTTGCAGGAGTCCATTTTAGTCCGGCGGGCAAGTCGAAACCGGAAAGGATAACATACCAGAGAATTAGAGAGATTATGAACATAAGATGATGATGATATCAATAGCAAACAACTGATTTGGTTCGCACATGTTCCTACAACGAATGGCAGATACCAATAACCAAATGATTCATTGAGTGGAAACCAGAAGGAAGAACAAGACGCGGCATCATACCGAGAATTAAGAAGCTGTTGAAGTGAATTGGACTAGGAAATGAGAGACAGAGAATTGGAAGAGGATGCCGGGATTGACAGAGACAATTTGAGATCAGGAATTGGAAGACGTAGAATCTTATAAATCAATGACATATCAACACAGATAGACATTACCTCATGTGTATCCCCTCGAATTAGGTTGACAAATTGTTACAGATTTATATTGACTACGCTGCAATCGATTAGCATGTCAACGCGCCTATCGAACGTATATTATATGAGTTAGAGGCAGATAGATGATAGATAAACGGGTTGCACCGGTGCGCTTTTTTTATTTAATTTGTTCAAGTGAATGACGGCTTCAGTTGGGAGGGGAGTCTTTTTTACACCTCTGATCACCACCATGACCACCCTCGAACAACTCATCTCTCCTGGCCCATGGGAGGTCTTGTCATCACAACAAACATCAACTAATGAATGAGCTGCGGTCATTGGATGCGGTGTCTATCATTGTTAAGATGTCATTATTATAGACCGATAATTATATATAGAAATGGTCATTTAGGTCTGTTTTAATATGTCAAAAACCGTCTTATGAACGGTTTCGACACACCCTGTATACGAATTGCGAATTCTACGCACAATTTTGAGTTTTGCGCGAAATCGAGACGGTTTCTCGTTGTGTTGGAGCAAAGCTATTACAATGAAAAATAGGTACCCATTCTAGAAACTGTAGCTGGACTAGCATTATCCACATTATCAGGTTCAAACACTAATTTGCAGTTGGCCGCCATTACGATTCTGTCACCATTAGCCAATGTCAGCGTTTTGTTGTCGTCCAAGACGGAATTTAAATTTTCTATCCATACAGCATCTACTGGTCCATCCAACACTAACCTATAATAAAATTGAATATGTATTTTTGTTTATACGGAACCAAGTTTTAGATTTTCCAAATTTAACTTACCAACAGTAATCAGTTTTCTTAAATTTAAGCGTTCTCCTCCACAAAGTAGAAAATATCCCATCTGTCCAATCGTTAGTGGCTACATCGAGTTTACCAAACATTTGAGGAGCTGTAATAGCTTTAGGATTCATCCTCAATTCTCTATGCGGAAGTCCGGTTTCTGTCATAGACTTCATAAGGGTGTGCATGCACTTAGTTTTTCCTGCTCCAGTAGGGCCTACAATAAATACAAAACATGAAAATTTGTATTAGTTTTATGTTATGATTTTCACCTAAGACCATAAGTCCATGACGCACCAGGGACGTTTCGTAGAGTTGTATCACTTTGAGATTCCATGAAGGATAGTTGACAAGTCCAGTATCAGAACACACGGATGCGATTGCTTTTTGAAGTTCTTTCCATGAATGGACAGATAATTTGATGCCAGGAAACATGTCCTCAATCAATGATAGAAATAGTGGCTCATCTTCGTCAATAAGTTTACTCAGATTCATATCTCTCAAAACTCTCATTACGATTGTTTCCTCCGTATCTGAGGGATGAGCTCTTTTCTGAGCTCCTAGAGTACGCAAAACTGACAATATATTTCTTAAACCAAAATCATAGTGCACCTGTTTCGATAGTTGTTCTTCACATAGTTGGTACAAAGTGTAAAACTTTCTTGATAGTAAAACATTATCTTTGAATCCACAAGAAGCCATTTTAACACGAATTATAATTTGCCTATCAGGTACCATCATGGCAACACTTCTAAACATTATTTTTAGGTTTTCTGGTAATTCCTGGCGACCGGCATAGCCAGGATTCATAGTTAAGAAAATGCCAAACTCTATATTCATGGTTACATTGTCGCCATCCCTAAGTTAAAGTTAAAATTTAAATAAAATTAATCAATTTAATCATTTTTTATCAGGTGTGATTCTTCAATTTGCAGATTAGCTATTTATATCACAAGTGTGAGAAGTGATATTTTTGGATATAGTTACAATTTTTTTTTATGTAAGTGCAAAGTGAATTCGCGAGGCGTTGCCCTGTGAAACTTTCAGCATTGATAGTCCAAGAGCCCAGAGCCCCCAGACACAAATTATTTTCTAAAGGACAGAATATGTGGGATTGTGTAGCACTTATATGTACTATGAACGTATGTATACCCGCTAAGTTGGGTAGACGCCCAATTTACCGACACCAGGTGCGAAAGCTTAAAAAGTACTTTAACTTTTTTTCTAACGCTTGATTTTTATACATGTTATTGGGGAGACTATTTCATAACTACGTGTACCTACTCAGCCAGACCAATCGCACCGGTCAAAAATCCCCCCAGACGCAATAATAGTTTTTCCGTGAGTGTGAGCGCGAGGGTACTATGCATGCGTTTGAGAGTGAGCGAGATATCTATTTCCCCCTCTTAAACTGACAGTCTACTCCAGGCTAGAGTAGAAATGGGATTAGGTTTTTCCCATAATGGGAAAAACCGTTATTTACAAATAACAGTCAACTGGCCAACTTAGCGAGTATACATACGTTCATAGTACCTATAAGTGGCGGCTCCGGGCTCTTGGACTATGAGTGATTACGCTGCGTCAGCCTCATGATGACTAAAATTTGACATCATTGTTTGGTAAATAATTTTTTCTTCAAGGTCCTATTCGCTTGGAAAATTTTATAATCGAGAGGATCAGCTGAACAATATAAAAATTGAAGATGAAGATCAAGATAATAGTTATTTATGTATCAAGGGAATTATGCAGGTGTTAATACCCCAGGGCAACGTTTGTGTCCCGAGGGCCTCCGGCCCGAGGGACACCAATTGCCCGTGGGTATTAACTCCTGATAATTCCCGTGGTACATAGATAATTTTATATCCTACTGAATTTACTGTATTCTGTCTATTTTTATAAAGGAATAAGCCATAAATCAAAATTTCTATTTTTTGTCAAAGTGTTACCTATTCAAGGTAAAAGCGGGAGTTATGGAAATCCTTAACTCCCTTGGGAGTTATGATATCCTTAACTCCCTTCCTTAACTCCCTTGGGAGTTATGAAAATCCTTAACTCCCTTGGGAGTTAAGACCCTGTTTATGATTATCGTAACCAAGGTATTATATGGTTTTAATAGTTCAGTAGGATATAAAATGTTTTTCAGCCTTCCTTGTAAAAATTTGGTGGTTTCTGTCATTTCAATTTTAAAACTTTTGTAGAAAAAAGCAATCTTTAGGTGTTTTCTTAGGTATACTCTGTGCTTCTTCGGTTTATCGTAGTTGTAGTTTTAAATAATCCATGCCTAAACGAGAAATTTACGTCCGCCAAGGTTTCTTTGGTCAATGTCAGCAGTCATCGCAGGATTTGAGGAGAATTTGCCCTCTGTGAAAGTAGGTTGGTATAAAAGTAGGCATAAGAACCTCTGCAGTAAGGAAGTGTCTTATTCCATATTAGAGGCGGCAGATTTACTATGTCCCATAGGCTCAACAGCTCTGGGATCTACAATCGTAGTTTCTATGCCACTGGGCATAAAGCTTGACGATGTCAAGCACCGTGTGATTGTTGTGGTGTAACAACATTTACAATTTAAAAATCACGCACAGGCATCTTTTGGACGACAACACCATAAGTCCAACGCAGCGTAGCCCTGCGGCGATCGCCAAGTTGCAACGGAAGCAGGATTGTGTAATCTGGCAGCTCTTAATGACTAACCGGTAGGTAAGCGGCAGATTAAGGAAGGCGACAACTCGTGTCTTTCACCTGCAACCCAGCAGCCCTATTTAGGACCTTCTGCTTAGCCTACATTGGAAGGGGTCCAGAAACCTATACTTACTCAGCCTAAGCATAACATGACTAGATTACCGCGTCCAGAAGAAACACCACATGCTATCTTATGTAGAAGGACCTAAAGCCAGACAGGGCATGTGTATATACACTGTGTCCGTAAAGTAACGAATAAAATCATTATTTTGGAAACGGTAGAGTTTTTGAAAAATCGCTCAGACACGTTAATTTTGTTTTTTTTTTGTTTGAAATTTTTTGATATATTTTTCATTATACAGGTCTTAAAAATAGCTCCGCTGCTATCAACTTTGTTTTTTCAAATGGATGAACCTGTATATTATGACATTTATGGATTCTGCGGGAAATTTTTGACATAATTCATGTACAATGTCATATACCTATCTTCAACTCTTTCGGAAATATTGACAGTTGAAAATTGATAACGTGATGAACGTGATAAAGCGGGAGCACGCATTCAAAATAGGTGATACTATAATATACAGGGTGTCTCCGTTCAACTGGTCAAAAATGCTAGGGTATATAGAGGAACGATGGATACCTGAGTAATTTGAGATAGGACACCGATGGTCGGAAGGGAGTCGTTTCCAAAATACAGGGTGTTGAAATTTGAACAGTCCCCTTTCATATCATCTGAAAGGATAATGCTAGGCTGTTCAAATTTCCAGGGATTATTGAAGTAGGAATGATATTTGAAAATTCGTATAATGCAGCCTCATTTTCTACCTGGAACCATCCCAAAAAAAAGATAAATAATAAAATTTGAAAAAAAAAGCAATTTGTTTCAATTTTTTTTTTTTTGGGAGGTTTCAGGTAGAAAATCGGGATGCTTTATATGAATTTTTAAATATCATTCCTACATCAATAATCCCTGAAAATTTGAACAGCCTGGCATTAGTCCTCCAGATGATATGAAAGGGGGTTGTTTAAATTTCAACACCCTGTATTTTGGAAATGACGCCCTTCCGACCATCGGTGTCCCATCTCAAATTACTTAGGTATCCATCGTTCCTCTATATGCCCTAGCATTTTTGACCAGATGAACGGGGACACGCTTGTTCGGCCTCATTCCGCAGATGGCCTTTTTTTTGGTCTACTTTCCCTGGGGTAACAGTCAGAAACTCACAACTACAATGAACCACAGAGCGACAATCATGAGCAATCCAATGGGCAGGATTAGGAAACCATAGAACTTCAACCGCTAAGGTCAACTTACGAGGGAGGCCAGACTGTTTAACTAAGAGTTATCCATTCATTGAAACAGGCGGCTAATGGCAATCAACCTAGGGAGTCTCAGAAAACAGCTGCGAGTCTGAGAGTGGCCAGAATTTCTAACCAAATTGTCATCCATAATTTTTATTTAATTTGTTTTTAATAAAACTGATATTAAATAACACGCTATATACATGTTAATTATGTCTAACCCTTCAACCTTATTGCAAGTGCCCTTTCTGGCTTTAGGTCCTTCTACATAATATAGCAAGTGCTCTATCTGGCTATAGCAATGACCTATTAACACAGATAGACAGAACATCCCATTGATAAAATAGCTTTATTTACGACTAATGTATAATGTGCGTATTATATTTGTGATTTTGGCAGTATAATGACATATGTTATTCCTCCAGGGATTAATGACGAGTAGCGGGATTAATGGTCATTATTCCACAAAAGTGTCAGTGTCAAACGTGTAGTGCTTGTGGATTTGTATTGAAAATTATGAGACGGATGAAATTTGTTCATTGAAAATCTCAAATAAATTAATTTGTCGTAAATAAAGTAGAGTATACTACTCGCAATAATGGCTATTATTCCCTCGGAATGTTACTCGCTCGCCGCTAACGCGGCTCAGTTCGTAATAATCCTCGGGAATAATAGCTATCATTATTGACTCGTGGTATAATCTACTATTGTTTTGGTTGACTACATGTTTATTGGCCAGGGGGGGAGGGGGGTGAGCTGTGAAAGCGGCTAGGAGTAGGGATTCAAATGCTTCCGCTAACTCCGCCCCCACTTTATTATCGCATACTTGGCAACTTTGAAAATGCAACCAGAATCAGTGCTACAAAAGTGTATCCTTGTCCTTATATTTTACATGATTTTAAAAAGATGCGGATACACTCACTGCGCACTGATTGACAAATGGAAATTGTCATAAAATACCTGTAGGTCGGATTTTGACATGACAATTGAATAGAAGCCGCTGATTGGTGGAAAGGTGGAATTCGAGGTGGAATTTATTTTTTTGCAGCGTTGCTGATTTTCATTGAAAAATAATCGCTTTCCACGTGTTAGAGAAAGATACAAAATAACACCAGGATTAATAAGCAGTGAGGAGAGATGCGGTTCCTGGGATGTAGTCAACCTTTATTATTGTTTATTGTTCTGTCTATCTGTGTGCTATAGTAATAATTATCCAAGGCTCAGTAAGGTTTTGGACAGAGCTCATTCTCGTCCTTTCCTTTCCATAAGACCGTGTAGCCATATTTTGTAAGTTGGTCATCGTCCGCAGTTCTTGCTTCACTCAGTGCAGCGATATAGTATGTGGTATAGCTTCTGGACGCGGTAATTCAGTCATGTTATGCTTAGGCTGAGTAAGTATAGGTTTCTGGACTCGTCCCAATGTAGGCTAAGCAGAGTAGGTCCTAAATAGGGCTGCTCGGTTGCAGGTGAAAGACACGAGTTGTCGCCTTCCTTAATCTGCCGCTTACCTACCGGTTCGTCATTAAGAGCTGCCAGATTACACAATCCTGCTTTCATCGCAACTTGGCGATCGTCGCAGGGTTTTGCTGCGTTGGACTGATGGTGTTGTCGTCCAAGAGACGCCTGTGCATGATTTTTAAAGTGTGAATGTTTCTACACCACAACAATCATACGGTGCTTGACATCGTCAAACTTTATGCCCGCCCAGTGGCATAGAAACTACGATTGTAGATCCCAGAGCTGTTGAGCCTATGGCACATAGTAAATCTGCCGCCTCTAACATGGAATGAGACGCTTCTTTACTGCAGAGGTTCTTATGCCTACTTTCATACCAACCTACTTTCACAGAGGGCAAATTCTCCTCAGATCCTGCGATGACTGCTGACATTGACCAAAGAGACCTTGGCGACTTCTATGACTGCACGTAAATTTCACGTTTAGGCGTGGATTATTTAAAATTACAACTAGAATAAACCGAAGAAGCACAAAGTATACCTAAGAAAACTCCTAAAGATTGCTTTTCTCTACAAAAGTTTTAAAATTGAAATGACAAAAACCACCAAATTTTTACTAGGAAGGCTGAAAAATATTTATAGTAAAATGCATTAAAAAGTTTTAGGGCAATATGTTACTCGCTAAGATTTAAGTTGCAATTATTCTAGCCACATTATTCCGAAAACCAAGCACTTCAATTTCAAAACGATGGAAGGCCTGAGGAACAAATTTAAGAAGCCAGTTGGTTGTAGGTACGAAATGAAGTCGAACATTGTGAGCAGATTTCACACATTTTATCTCAATCCTAGATATGACAACAAAATAATAAATTATTTGTGGATGTTTGATGTTACGCTACATTTAAGAAATAAAACTAGTAAAGCCTGAAATTTGAGTGCACATTAGGGTGAAAGGTTGTCATGTATCATGTGAAATCAAAAAATAGCATTTTATTAAGGCGCTCAATCTATGACCCTAAATAATATGTATTTTCTACATGTGCAGCCGTTCAGTTCGAGAAATTAATAATTAAAAACTTACATGAAAACAAATATGGGTTTCCTTTCTTTCCTAGCTTGTAATACAATGTAAATTTGTTGTGCCGCTACCGATAATACAGGTAATTCTATCCTGTTGAACTCGTCAAAACAGCCCCAGGTACCAGATTGTGCTAGACCCTATAATTATAGTACCATGCTTAAGCAAAAATATCATCAAAAATGAAAATATAAACCTTACTTTAAAAATTCTGCCTAAGCCTCTAAAATCCATCTGATCGGAACAATTGAATACCACTACAAATTTGCCCAAAGTACGACCCATGTCTTTAACTGTTTCGGTTTTACCAGTCCCAGCTGGTCCAGCAGGGGCACCACCCATGTTGATCCCTACAAAATCAGTATTCAAAATGTTCATTTTGCAATACAAAAAATCACTCACAAATAGCCTGGGCCAAAGTAATGTAGCATCTATCAGTTAGTGGCGTTATCGCCAGCCTCTCAGTGATGCCAAGATATTCATTCTGATAGAGAAATATTACGTCTGTAACTTTAACCAAGACATCGTCGTTTTCGTCGTTATAGTAAAAACGGCATTGAGCTTGCCATTCAAAATCCAATATGTTTTTCACTCTTAGCTTTGTAATATTATCAAAGATGTCTCTGAAATAGTGTTTTGCTTTATCAGATAATATTTGGTGTTAAATTCTTTTCCTAGAATCGTACAAGTTGTAGGCCCAAAAAGGTAAAATCAAAAGGTGGTCTTTTGTAGATGATCGTTTTTGCGAATTTCCACAACATTTGACAGGTGATAATAACATAAATTGTTCTTAATTACTTACCGCTGATGTACGTGTATAGTAACCATTGTTTCAAATTGGGTTCTTTGCATTTTGCTTAAATCTTTGGAAGTTAGGTCAATAAGGGAATTTAAGAGTTCCAGAAATCTCTGATTTGTAACTTTCATAATCACTCTATCGACTCTTGCTCTTTTAATTGCAATCTCAGCTTCTTTAGTCCAAAACACTTGAATGCCAAGTAAACCAGCCTTAAAATTTAAAAATAAATTTTCAACCACTAGGTGATGAAGACTCAACCAGAAGACAAAATTAGGGCACATGACGTATTTTCTTTTGTTGCAACAGCTATAGAATGAATTGCACTTACCTGTCCGCAAAATGCAACAAAACCAGTTATAAAATCATATTCGGGATCTACAAAACATTGCGCTTGCGCCGCTATGACCCCTTTCACTGTATCTCTAACGGTAGCTAATAAGTTGTTTAACCAAAATTCCACCCCTCCTGCGCAAACCACAGATTTCTCGAATACTACTTTTTCTCCTAAGTTCGAATTCATTGCAGTTATGGTGTCTGTATGTTTTTCATCAAAATCAACCTGAAAGAATTGGAAAATTACATAATCACTGTTTATTGTAAACGACGATGTTTGAAGATGAAGATACTATAAAAAGTTGATTTAAGAACTTTACTTAAACCTTTCATAAGATTGCCATGTCAGAGTTGGCCTTACTGATTATACATTTAACAGAGAGCTATCAAGATCAAAAATTACACTGAATTACCATGTTCAATTCGGTTAAATTGTATACTATCAATTATTAAAGACAAAATTAGTCAACTTACTGTAAACACAGCATCAAACAAGCTAGGTAAGTGCGGTTGGATTGAAGTAGGATCTGAACTTTGGCCCAATATTTCTAGAAGCACTGGATCGGATATGAAAAAGAATCTTGGAAAGCATAACCTCTTCGACTCTGCAAGCAAACACGTAGAATATAAATTTCGGAGCTTCGAGATTCCGATTTTTACCTAAATATCCAGTTAAACTCTTCTGACACGTTTCGAGTTGTTCGAGCAAGTGAGGTAAAAGTTGTTCCATAGTTTCATCACCAGTACAACACTCTACAGCATTCGGAATTTCGTGAGCTCTATTCATGATCTTTATCCAGGATTTGTCGATATTCTGCAATGGAAATATTTCAATCATAATTATAAATGCAACAATTAAATTTGAATATTACGCTGAATCTTTTAGCTTCTTGGGGTAACTGTTTAGCGATGTCACCTCCTACAAAAACTGCTTCCAAATAAACCCATAAGTTCTGGACAATTAACCATTTTTCTAGGATTTCTGAAGTAGTCACCAACTTGTGGACCCATAATTGAATATCTTTTTTAAATGGAGCATTGTATCTGTTTAGAACAAGGGGATAAAGTGAAATAGGCATGGAATGATAAATTAAAAACCATTATTATTATTATCATACATACAGCATACATTATAATTTTTCAAAGTACCTTTTAAACAAAGTATAGAGGAAATATTACCTGTTACTTAAAAGAGAGTTCATGATCATCAGACTGTCCTCCAGTGTGGTGATAATTTCTCCAGTCTCGGTACCTTTTAGTAGCAACTCTCCTCTAGTTTTGAAATTAGAAAATGATAGCTCTACGACTGCCCACTCAGCTATGACCTGTTTGAGTTTGGCTTCAATATCCTTTTCTAAAATAATTGAGAGAAAATAGCCCTCGAAAATCAAGACTTGACCCTATTTTTTGTATTGTTGGTCAGATTATTCATATTATGTCTACCTTTTACAGCACTTATACAGATGTCCTCGACATCATCTTTATATTTAAGCAACGGGGCTTCCATTACGTTTCTTAGCGTAAATGTAGGAGATTCAACATCAAACAAATAGCTAGTTAAAGTTCCCAATCTTTTCCAATGTCTTTCTTTCATTGCCTGAAATAATTTATTTATATAGTTGGATATTTCACTTCAATATGCTTCAACAAACTTTGTTCGCCATAAGTTCCAATAACGGACAAGTTTCACTAAAGTCGTCAATTTTCTTTTTCAGATCGATAAAAGCTGGCCAGTCTTTCATGGCTTTCGGTAATTTTCGGCATCTACAATAAAGAAGCATTTAAGTCGTCCTTTGGAAGACACCTTCTTTAGTCACTCCAAAATGTATATTACAAAATTCTATTGTGTTCCTATTTTATATTATCAAAACTTCTAACCTATTTTGAAATTCTTGTAGTTCGGCAAATATAACTTCAGTATCGACATCGCTCCATAAAATGTCAAAATAGCCATCAATGCTATGATTTACTGCCAAATAGAGTCCATAGAGTTTGTTTAACAGAGTAAATTCTTTTTTCCTTTGATGCAGTATTGGATAGTCATTAACTTCCAATCTAAAACGTATTTACCAAATACAAAACATAAAAAGTTGTACTAAAACTAAGTATTACCCAAATAATTTCTCGCCGCTGCTATACATTTCATATTTTCTCCACAACTCGTCGAATCTATCTTGGAACGCCAGTACTCGGTCGCTGGCCTCTCTCGCACCGAGACCTGGTATCATTGGGCCTTTTTCTTCGAAATCTTTGTCAAATTGTTCAACTTCGTCTTTGAAATTGGATACACCATCAGTCAATTCTTCCAGTAGAGGTCCTTGCACCGTACATATTTCTTCTTGAACCGCTTTAGACTAGAGGAAGAGATTCATACATATTATGTTATTACATCGGCATTTATGAAAATTAATTCAACTCAATGAACTGAAAAGTTCTTCGGTAGTTCTAAGGAAAATAATTAATATTTTTCTAATTAGTCATTGTCCATTTATCCAAATTGGAACATTTAATCTTAATATTTTTACCATACTGTACATATTAGAATTAATTAATTATAAGCAACCTACTTTTATTATTGGAAATGACGACAATCGATGTGTGCAAAATCAGCATTTATTGTATATAAAAGGTGATCAATTTCATTAATAAAATCAGATTCAAACTTATTGTTGTTTCTCTTACTTAAATTGTGCCCAAGTCACCATTGGCCTAGCAACGCTAGTAGAGTCGTGAGACTGCGCTCTAACAATTACTTTTCTTTAGCCTTATTGTAGCAGGTGCTCTGTCTGGTTACATTAGGCCCTTCTCTAAACCTGTAGCAAGTGCTTTGTCTGGTTACAGGTTTAATTTAAACCTTATAGCAAGTGCTTTGTCTGGCTTGGGTCCTTTTTTTTCCAACTTACAACAAGTGCTCTAGTCTGGTTGTAAGTTACCTATCTTACGCCCTAGTGCAAGTGCCGTGACTTTAAGTCCTGTCTGGTACTAAGGCCCTTCTGCTCTTCTATCCTAAACCATCGGGATCAAGCAGAAAATACTATCCAGAGAACTAGAGTCTCCTGGAGCGTACATGGTCCTTCGAGCAAAAAGTTACAATGGTCAAGAATCAGCAGCCTGCAACAGCAGGCAACCAGAGTCCTAGAGGTCCCACCAGTAGCGATCCTCAGGTCCATCAGCCAGGGTCCCAGAGGTCCCACCAACAGCGGGCCCAGAGGTCCAACCGAAACAAGCAGCCATCAACCAGAGTCCTAGAGGTCCCACCAGTAGCGATCCTCAGGTCCATCAGCCAGAGGCCCAGAGGTCCCACCAACAGCGGGCCCAGAGGTCCAACCGAACCAAGCAGCCATCAACCAGAGTCCTAGAGGTCCCACCAGTAGCGATCCTCAGGTCCATCAGCCAGAGTCCCAGAGGTCCCACCAACAGCGGGCCCAGAGGTCCAACCGAACCAAGCAGCCATCAACCAGAGTCCTAGAGGTCCCACCAGTAGCGATCCTCAGGTCCATCAGCCAGAGTCCCAGAGGTCCCACCAACAGCGGGCCCAGAGGTCCAACCGAAACAAGCAGCCATCAACCAGAGTCCTAGAGGTCCCACCAGTAGCGATCCTCAGGTCCATCAGCCAGAGTCCCAGAGGTCCCACCAACAGCGGGCCCAGAGGTCCAACCAAACCAAGCAGCCATCAACCAGAGTCCTAGAGGTCCCACCAGTAGCGATCCACAGGTCCATCAGCCAGAGTCCCAGAGGTCCCACCAACAGCGGGCCCAGAGGTCCAACCGAATCAAGCAGCCATCAACCAGAGTCCTAGAGGTCCCACCAGTAGCGATCCACAGGTCCATCAACCAGAGTCCCAGAGGTCCCACCAACAGCGGTCCCAGAAGTTCAACCAGACCCAACAGCGGTCAACCACATTCCCAGAAGTTCCACCAATAGCGGTTCCAGAGGTTCAGCTAAGCCCATTGCAAGATCAACAGAACAATGATGGAAGAAATGAACGTACGTGCTGCTCAGCAAGAAGAACTAGGCAAAAAGATCATGCAGCTTTACACCAACTGTAAAAAAGATGGCCAATCAAGAAAAACTGAACAGTATGTAGAACAAAAACTTGGAGCACTAGAAGAACTATGGGATGCAGTTCAAGAAAATGATCATGAACTAAACAAGTTCAATGAACCAAATCACGCCTACTTTACTAAAAAATACCTGCAACAAATAAAAGAGAGGTATGAGACTTGCAAGAAGTACCTTGAAATGATCAATGATGAATTACAAAATAGTCCACAACTCTTACTTTTGAAAAAACAAAATCTTAAGTGTGAGGAATTGGATAGAACAATCGACCAAATCAACCAAGATCTAGCTGAATCAAAATCAAGAATAAGGTATGAATTACAACAGAAAAAGCTGGTAAAACAATGGGAAGCTATTCAAGAATTGCACGAAGAGATAATAATTCATGAAAAATCATTCACCAGTGCCTACTTCAGAGATGATAAGTTTCATGAGTATCAGATGAAGTATGAAGACACGTTGGAAAAATTATCAGCGGAAACAGTCGAGGCACAAGCTTCATGTCAGCCGCAATTACCACAGACCCAATCAATCTGGCCTGTAAGACATCTTGCGTCACCACAAATAACCATTCCAACATTTCACGGAGGCTACGAGAACTGGGGCTCTTTCCATGATGTTTTTTTGCGAGTAGTCCACGACAACATACATCTTTCCAAGGCAGAGAAGATACAACTACTCAAAACGCATGTTCGAGGAGAAGCTGCAAGACTCATTCAGCATCTGACAACCACTGAAAACAACTACGAGACAGCATGGGACTTGCTTCAGAATAGATATGAAAACAAACGACTATTAGCCTCGAAACTGATAGACAAGTTATTAGACCTCCCAAACCTTTCCTCCGGAAACGTTGAAAAATTGAAGCTCTTGCATGACATCACCAAAGAATGTACTAGTGGGCTAGAAAATATAGGAGTAAGCACACAGTCATGGGGGCCAATCATCATCAGAATAATCAGTCGGAAATGGGATTCCGAAACCAACAAGATGTATGAACAAACAATTACGGAACCACACAAAATTCAAGACTACCAACAATTCATGGAATTTCTTGAAAGAAGATTTCAATCTCTGGAAGCAACAAGCCCAAGCAGAAGAAACAACTCAGCTTGCCATTATTGCGAGAAAGATCATGCGATATATCACTGCCAAGCTTTTAGAAGATTGTCGGTAGAAGAAAAAAATCGTTTTGTTCAGAAAATAAACCTTTGCGTGAACTGTCTGAACCACGAAAAACATCTCAGATGTCGCAGCAGTGTAACTTGCAATGTCTGCAGGAAGCATCATCATACAATCCTACATAATGAAAACAATCAACGAAGCTTCAGCAACTCAGGACATCAGACATCAAGAAGAACTGATCAAAGAGCCTCCAATCAAAATGAAAATAGCCAAACACGCAACAACTTCAGAAGAAATGATCAAAGACAAAATACCTCAAACTATCACGTAAAAGACCACGAAGAGAATGTCCTGCTTGCCACAGCATTGGTAGAAGTAGCAACAGCTAGCAACACCCAGTATTTACGTGTCCTCATTGACCAAGGATCACAATCTGCGTTTATAACAGAAGACGCAGCCCAGCGTCTTAATCTCCCACGTCAGAAAATCAGAGCAGAAATTTCAGGCATAGGAGATGGTAGCCCACAAGTTTCCTCCTCGGCAGTAGATCTCCTCATCAAGCCACGCTTTCCGAGCAATTTTTCACTTGAAGTGAAAATGTTAGTACTTCCAAAATTAACACAATCAACTCCACGATATCAATTAGAAGTCGACAACTCGTACACGAATGAAATCCTAGCAGATCCAACCTACATGAAACCAGGTCCAATTGATGCTATAGTTGGAGCGAGAGAATATACGCATATTATTCTAAATGGCATTCAAAAAACAAGAGAAGGACTTCTTAAGCAAAATACGGAACTAGGATGGATGGTATCTGGAGGAGTATCGTCAAACCACCTTCCACTTCAAGTGACCAGCATGATTTCCCGACACGAAGAAGATAGCCAACTCACGAAATTTTGGGAATTAGAAGAGTTGCCAGAAACAAATAAATATATATCAGAAGATGACGAAATCTGCGAAAAATTTTACGATGAGACTACGTATCGAGATGAAAAAGGAAGATTCATAGTCAGAATACCTTTCAAACGGGGCACGCAAGTTTTAGGACAAACAAAACCTAGATCGGCTGCCCGTTTAAGAAGTCTGGAAAACCGGTTTTTGAGAGAACCTTGCCTTAAAGAACAATACGATGCATTCATGGATGAATATTTGAAATTAGGGCACATGAAAAAAGTATCATTTCAAAATCTTCATGAAGGCAGATACTACATACCACACCAAGCAGTATTTAAAATGGACAGTACAACCACAAAACTACAAGTTGTTTTTGATGCTTCCAGTAAATCAACATCCAATGTTAGCCTAAATGATTTGATGCTTACTGGTCCAAGACTCCAACAGAACCTATCTGAAATCCTGTTAAGATGGAGGCAGCATAAAGTAGTTTTTACAGCCGATATAGAAAAAATGTATCGACAGATAAAAATCCATCGAGAAGATCAACCTTATCAGAGAATTTTATGGCGATCTGACAGCGGACACCGAATGATTGAATACGAGCTAACCACTGTCACATATGGAACAGCATCTGCGCCATACCTAGCCATTAAGACTTTACAAACATTGTCAAAATCTGAAGAAACGAAGTATCCTATTGCAAGCAAAATCACCCTACGAGACTTTTACGTAGATGATGTCCTGTCAGGAGCCAATGACTTAGAATCGGCAATAGAAATTCAACAACAGTTACTCAATATGATGCAATCTGCTGGTTTTAATCTCAGAAAATGGACCAGTAATAATCCAGCCCTGCTTCAAGCCCTTCCCGAATCGCAATAAAACCAAACCGTCCAAGAATTATCCGAAGATGACATCCAAAAATCACTTGGCGTATTTTGGTCGCCTTATGATGACAACTTCATGTTCAAAGTTACCACATCAACAGAGAATCTAATAACAAAAAGGCACATTCCTATCAGAGATATCAAAAATTTTCGATCCCTTAAGATGGTTATCACCTATAGTCATCAAATCAAAAATACTCATACAAGACTTATGGCTACAAAGATTAGGATGGGATGAGAAAATAGAAGGTGAACTAGCAGACAGATGGATAACCTTTAGAAAGGACATGAATAAAGTCGAAGATATCAGAATTCCAAGATGGATGCAATTTAGCCAAGGAAACCTAATTCAACTCCACGGATTCTGTGACGCCTCT